AAAAAAATGCAAAAGGAGAAGGAAAATTGCACTCCTCAGTATCCATCTGTCTGTCTCTCTGTGCATCTGTCTGTCTCTACCTTACCTACCCAGGAGGGGCCAGCTTGGATCACTCACTCTGTGTGTGGCTGATGGGGCTTTGTACCCACCACCCATACAACCTAGGACAAGGTGCAAAGTCCTAAAGTGCCACCTGAATGAAGGACTGGAAAACTACTTCTGAGTATTTGGCACTCAGAAAACTCTGAGAAAGTTGCTGTAAGTTGGAATTGAATCAATGGGCATTAGTATTAATTACGGTATCTGTCTGTCTATGTATTCGGGCAGTGTGCAGTCTTTGGGCAAATGAGTACACCTGGACTAAATGAGGGGTGTTTATGTGTTTCTGGAGTGACCACGGGATCGAGCAAAGACCTAGAGGCATAAACCAGTTGGAACAAAACTCCTCATAGATCCCTCATGTTAAATCTGACATTTGTGCATCATGATCTGAAGTAACTAAATAAGACTCTGAGTTGATAGCAGTGGAGAAGGAAAGTATGTTCTTTGCCATAAATGAACTAAGTCTTGTTTGGATTTCTCCAGGTCAGCTTCACACAGGAAAGTCTTGTGGCCTTTTAGCTTGCAGGTGACACAGCTTCAGAAGAGCTTCTTAATAAACTGAAAACAAGGTGAGATAGCAAATTCCCTCCCTGTTCCCTTCTCCCTCTCTGTTTCTCTGTCTAGATGCTCTAGCGCTTTCGTGTTAACACCAGGCTTTTTAAAAAATGGAAAGATCTTGACCCTCCATTTCACTTGCTTTCCCTGATGGCTAACATGCCCTTAGTAGCAAAGCCAGCAGCGGGCTTGTCTCCTCTTTCTCCCGTCTTCTGCTGTTAAAAAAGTGTGTGTGTTTGTGTGTGTTGGCATGGTGGCTTTTCAAATGATCACATATCTGATCTAATGCATATAGATCTGTTTTTTGAAAAGTAGTAGCCCTAGCAGCAGAGGGGGGAAACTACAGATTGTGGGAGGAAATTCTGAGTTTATTTGCATTTCCCTTTGTGTCATGCAGTTAACAGGGAAAAAAAATGCAAGTCAGCCCACCCCAAATCCATTGTATTTTCTGCATTTTTCCAGTGTATTTGCATGCTCAGCTCTCAGTACAGTGTGTGTGTGTGTGTGTGTGTGTGTGTGTGTGTGTGTGTGTGTGTGTGTGTGTGTGTGTGTGGCGCACGCGTGCGTGTGCATAAGAAGAAAAATTACATCCTCTTTCCATTTAATATTTTGCAAATGTTTCAAATTATTATGAATTGACTTTAGATTCAGGCAATTTCAAGCTATAAAAGCAGCAAGGCTCTGGAGATTTAAAGCCCTTCGCAATGCTGGCTGAAGATCAAGAATGTCCTGCCTGAGAGAAAGAGGGGGAAGTTTGTTTAATTAATTCCATGACCAGAAAGAAAAAGCACCTTCAGACAAACTAAACGACCGTTCTCTACAAAGCCCAAGGAGTCTTTTATTCATAACACTGCTACATGCCCTGAGCTTTAGAGATACGGCAAACTATACTACAGTTGCCAATATATATGTGCACACACCATATATAAAGAACGTCTTCCTGGCAATGTTCCCATGCTTATACTGTCTATGGGAAACCTTAGCGCTCAAGGCCAGCCTTCTTATGACATGTAAATGCAGGCATCAGAAAGGCTTTACCTGTTGTAGTTCTGCTATGTCATGAAACCAAGGGCAGATTAAGACATGCTGAAGCCCTAAACTATGTCAAGTTTAAGAAATCACGTAACATTCAAGAAGCATTATTCCAACCCTCTTCTTATAAATCAGATGTTCCTTATAAACTAAGGACCTAAGTTGTCAGTCATTTGGCTTGTTCATAAATCTGACACTGCATGCACCCGTTAATGGTATTAAAGCCAAGAAGAATAGTCAGGAAATGTCCATATAACCCAGAATTCTGGAGTTTAGTATATATATCTACAACTAGAGTAGGTCCATTGAATGAATGGAACTGCTGGGGGAGTTGATTCACCAAGCCACCACTGATTCTGTGGCTCTAATAAGGACTTTACACAAAGCTATAGGATTTCAGACAGTGTCCTACCTCACAGGGTTGCTGTTGTGAGGATAAAAAGTGGAGGAGAGCTGAATGTGCACTATGTTGATCACATTGGAAGAAATACAGGGTAGTACATAAACATCTGACATAGTGACTTTAATAGAGTTTTCATAGTATAAGAGATAATTCTACTGTTGCCACCCTCAGTGAGTGTCCATGGCTGAGCAGGGATTTGAACCCAGGTCTTTCACCACTCTATCCACTACACCGCACTGCCTCTTGTACCAAGGTAGTTAAATAAATAAAAATAATGGGACAGCTAGAACAATAATGAGTGGGTGGGTGGGAACACATTTTCCGAACAACTCAGAACAGCAGTCTGAATATTGGAGAAAGTAGTATCATTGCAACAGACATCCCAGACAGAAGGAAAAAATGGAGTTTGTACAACGAAATGGTGGAATTTTCCTTCCCTCTCAAAACTCTGTTTAAAACTATCCAGAAGGACTTCCAGAAGCCACAAGGTGGCAGTTGGGGCACAGTTTTTATATGCCACAAGAGTAACACTCTATGCAAGGGAAGGACTTGCGGCTCAATGGCAAAATATACTGTTTGCATACAGAAGGACAATAACAATAATCTTAGAACTGCAGAGGTGGAGGGGATCCTATGGATCATCAAGTCCAGACCCTGTTAAGGAGGCACAGTAGAGAATCAAACTCCCACCCTCTGGCTGTTCAGCCAGAGAGACCTAATCACTGAGCTATCCAGCAGTCAAAGTTCAACCCTTGATGCCTCCATTAAACAAATCAGATATTATAATGCTAGCTAGTGATCATTGGAGTTGCTCCAAAAAAAATCACAGGTGACAGCACACAATATTGGGTTAAATCAGGCCTGGGGAAACCTATGGCCTTCCAGATGTGATTGGACTCCAAAGCCTATCATCCCTAGACAGCTAACCAGTGGTGAAGGGTTATGGGGCTAGCAGTTCAATAACCTCTGGAGGGCCAGAGGTTCCCAGCTCTAGCTAAATTGTATAAGGCAATTCCTAATGAATCCAGGTAACACTGCAAAGCCAACCTGCATTCTTGTTCCTTGATTCACATGGCAGGATGCAGGCTGGCCTTAGCAGATTTGCCCGCATGGTAAGAATCCAGCTGAATTCAGCCTATCAACAAGTTCACGTTCAGCTGAACTTCCAGATGTATTTCCACCTCTGAATTCATTGTATGCCTTCTCCAGAATGTTGGCATCAAGATGAAACCTTTAGGACAACAGCTAAACCGCAGGCATAGCTTTTATAGTGAATATTCCATCAAAGTATTCCATCTTGAAATTCCTATATAAATGAATTACTACTGAAAGGGAGGGAGGGAGGAAGAGAAAGAGAAGCAGCAGGCTTCAGATTCTGACACATTAGATTTTAGAGCAAGATTTCGGAGCAATTTGGTTCTCAGTTAATTTGCATAGATTTGGGCTGCAGGTAAATCCCCTGCCAATTTCTGTAGTTATTTCATCTCCTGTTGCAGCTGCAGGCCAAAGGAATAATTAAAAAAAAAGAATAGAAATCCAGGCTCTGCGCCATGTGATGAGCACAATAAACAGACAACCTGCTTCCCTCCTTGATTGCCGGTGGAAATGTATGACATTTGGCTTATTCAAGTGCTTGGAGTGCTATGTGGTACAGACTCACAAAACACTCTGAGAGGTAATCTAGGTTGATGACAATTTGTCCAAGGTTAACCTGCCATCTTAATGGCAATACAAATTGCAGAGCTCGCATGCACGTCCAATGCCACTCCAGACAACACCAAAGTACTGTATACCAGTTCCCTGCAGCCAAACTATTCAAGCAATTGACATGCTTCAGAGGAACTTTTAGATTCAACTGCCTCTGCCTGTTTGTGCCTCTCTGTCAAGTCTGTGGCCATCACATCTTGTGGCAGCGAGTTCCACATGTGCTGTGTATTAGATGCAAATTTGGAACATACACTTCCAAATCAAATTCAGAAAAGAAAAAAAAATCCTAGATATTGGCAAAGAGCTGCTGGTGGACATTTTTCCTTCCACTATCCAGATTCCCGTTTGATAGTCATCATCATCATCATCACCAGGGGGGGTCAGTGACCTGACCTTGGACTTCACAAGGAGCCTACATAGATAAAATATCTGTATGTGTACCTATATGTAAATATCAATAGTGCCAGTGGTGGCCAAGTACATCTCTCCAGATGTCATTGTACTGCAACTTCCACCACCTCTCGTCTCACCACAGGCTGATGGGAGTTGTAGTTCATCACCTCTGAGGGGGCACCTTTTGACCTAATGCATCATTCTTGATAAATTACAAGGGGACAGGACCCTGCCTCAAAAGGGTTGCAGTCTATAATTCCGCAACAGCTAATATTTTTAATGATAGCCATGGTTTGAACCGTCCTGTTTCTGCTATCAATTGGTTTTCCCGTCAAGACGCCTCCCCTTGCTTATTATTTTCTTTCAATTCTATGCGAGAGAGAGAGAGAGAGAGAGAGAGAGAGGACGACAAATTCTTCCCCCTTCAGAAAATGGCCGTCGCATGAAGACGCTAAGCGAGTGATCAGGCCGCGCCTGCGCCGTTCTGACCCCCTCGCCGCTGTCGAGTATTTTGCCGTACGAAGAGTCCCGTCAAGACGCCTCCCCTTGCTTATTATTTTCTTTCAATTCTATGCGAGAGAGAGAGAGAGAGAGAGAGAGAGAGGACGACAAATTCTTCCCCCTTCAGAAAATGGCCGTCGCATGAAGACGCTAAGCGAGTGATCAGGCCGCGCCTGCGCCGTTCTGACCCCCTCGCCGCTGTCGAGTATTTTGCCGTACGAAGAGGTTTGTCCTCTTCGTCCGGCGAAACACTCGACAGCGGCGAGGGGGGTCAGAACGGCGCAGGCGCGGCCTGTTCACTCGCTTACCGTCCTAAAGAGGTTTGTCCTCTTCGCCCTGCCGTAGCCGGGCTCCTCCCCTGTTTGCCCGAGCGGACGCGTGCCCGTGTGAGGGAAACAGTTGCCGTTGTCGAAGTAGCAGTAGCAGCAGCCGCAGGGCGGGCGTGTGTGTGAGCGCGCGCGCCAGTCCCACCGCCGCCTCCTCCTCCTCCTCTCTTCCCTCGCGCGCTCTCGGCCATGTTGGCGGCCGCTCAGCTCCTCCGCCGTTGTGGGCCTGCCGCCCGCGGCCTTGCGCCCAGGGCCTCCCCCTCAGGTGGGTAGCGGGGCTGGGCGCGCGGGAGCCTCTCGGTCGCAGGCCGCGCCGTGTCCTTGCCGTGACCCCCGTCGCCCACCAAGGCGAGGGGGAAGCCTCTGCTCGCCGGCCCCGCCGCGGCCCTCCATTTTCTCTCCCCTCACACGGGATGTTCTCCAGCACCGCCTCCGCAAGAACCGAGGCCAGAAAGGAGGACGCCAAGAATCCTTTCCTCCGTTTTCTGCAGGGCCTCAGGCCGTTTCACGCCGCCACATCTCTCAGCGCCCACCCCCACCGCCCCGTCCTATTTATTCTCCCCCCCTTATTTGTTATTCTTTTTCTTCATATATTCTCTCTCTCTTGAACTCAAGGCGGCCGACATGGCTTCTCTCTTCCTCCCAACGCCCGACAACCCTGTCTGGGGCAGGCGAGGCCCGGAGCGAAAGCGAGACACCCGCCCTCGTCGCCTCGCTCCCTCCCCAGAACTTGAGCTTCCCACGTTTTTGAGGGCCACCCTCTTCACCACAGACATCCCTCGGAAGCCGGGCTGGGCAAAGTCGCCTGGTATGACCTTGGGCCGGTTTCTGAGCCTTTTTGCTCTGGCACCATAGAAAGCTAGGGAGGGCAGAGGGTTTTTTTTTGGGGGGGGGGTCCTGACTCTTTTTTTGCAGCTCTCGCTTTTGTCTTCCTCCTCTGGAGCCTTTGTGTCCTGTTTTTCTGACTCCTGATCCTCTTTGGCCTGGAGGTGACATTGAGTGGGAGATCCGCTATCCGCTGGAGGGAAAGGACAGAGGTTAAAGAGCAGGTTTAAGGCCCAGCTGACAGCAGGGTGGAGGATTGGGAGAGCTTGCCAGGGCCAGCCCTCAATAAGATCTGAAGTGATGAAGAGGGTTGGGAAAGGGTGTACTTGGCCTCCTTTCCTCTCTCGTTTTCATTTAACTTTTGTTCTGGCCACCACCTTCTTAGCTTGGTTTGATCTGCAACAGGGCTACATTCTCTCCTCCTGCTTCCACTCCTGTTTGCACCATTTCTAACAGTTTAGCTTACTACAAGATGAAAAATCTTGGAAATCTTCTTTTGTCTAGAAATGTCCTTGGATGGAAGTGCAGTTCTGCCAGTTCCAACATAACTGTGAGTTTAGTCGGAAAACAGCAGTTTTGTGGTTGGCACTGTGCATTTTGCAAACATAACTTACGTTAAGATCAATATTTTATTCTTTCTAGTATTTTGCATTATTGTTGTATGTATTGTTATGTGCAGTTTTGTGGTTGGCACTGCATTTTGCGAACATAACTTACGTTAAGATCAATATTTTATTCTTTCTAGTATTTTTCATTATTGTTGTATGTATTGTTGTCTGTGGGGTTTTAAAGTTTAAACTTGTGCATTATTGTTGTATGTATTGTTATGTGCTGTCTGTGGGGTTTTAAAGTTTAAACTTGTAAAACACTCAGAATAGTGTGTGCAGTAAAGGGGCAGTACATAAATCAAATACTTACATAAATAATTGTCTGTTTCTTGTAACTCCATTTACAAGTGTGTTGCAAAAGAGATGTGGAATGGATAGTCGTGTATCGTCAAATTTCTCTGAAGCAGCAATAAATAAATGTTTTTCTATCCACTCCCTTTCAGTAAAGCTCTTAACTTGTTCTCATGTTTTGTAGGTGAACATCCAGCATACCTAGCCTTTTGAACTCATTTTTGTTTAAATTTGAATTGCAACATAACCATGCTTTCAGAACTACTGTAGCTACTACAGTATTTACATGTGAGAGCTCTTGAGAGCCATTCTTGCCTTTGCTCATCTATAATTCCTCATAATCCATTCTTCAAACTTTTCCTTGGTTTTCTCCATCCAGAAGCTCTTGCCAAATCAGTTCTTCTAGCTACTATTGTGTATTAAGCTTACCATAGCTTGTGTATTACATTACAGGACAACTGAATCATTCACAAAGCTCATCCATGATTGTCAGTTATATGGCATTAGGAGGGCCGCAGCTAGCCCATGGACAAATATTCAGTGTGTATGTATACAATGGAAGATAGATAGAGCAGCTTCAAAGAAGGTGCTACTAGAAAGCTGAAGGAAGTGTGCTTTGTTTACTGTGTAACCTCAGACAATATGTCTCCAGTTTTTTTTTCCTATACCTGTACTTTGCCCTGGTGTTAAAAACCCAAGCTTTGACCAGAGGGATTGGCACAACCTGTTCTTGCCCATGGTTTTCGGCATTTTGACTAAGCTTTATTTCAATTAACGAAAGAGTTAATTTTCTGCCAACAAACCTCCATAAACCACATCTGCTACAAGGTAGGGCTTGCACACTCATAGCATTACTGGAGTTTCTAGGAATATAAATTTGATCTTGAGCTTGCAAAATGACACTACTTCAGAGTAGGTCACAAGACGTTTGTGACAGTAATAAATGGTGTAGCATAGGAATAAGAATCTTTAAAAAAGAAAAACCTTGTACCTTGACATCTGTTATGAGGAATTATTTTTCTGCTCTGAACATGCACTGTAAGTTTGCTGAAGATGGTTTTGAGGTTGACATTTCGAGCCATCTGTTTATTTTTTTATTAAAGGCAATGTGTATTGCATGTGGATGTTGACTTACCAGTTTACTCTAATGGTAGTTTTAAGGTCCTTTTAAATTCTCAGTAGCTTGCTATCAGAAAATATTCAAACTGCCATTTTTGTTAATTACAGTGGTGATGGTGCTTGCAAAAACCATGTTATATATGCTGTTACAGTAGTTAGTTGTGTTGAAACCATGAAGGAAGTAGGTTCCTGTGGAGCTGAAAGTATAACAGCTGTGGGATGGGGCCAGATAAATAATGGAAATAGTAGAGTCACAGAGAATTAGTTTAGAGTTATGACACATTGTGAATGAGCTGTTCTTAGTCTGTTAATTTAAAAATTGAAGGTATAGGTTTAAGTGCCACAGAAATTGTTTGCTTATTGCAGGTTTTGTGGCCCCCAAAAATTGAGCACTTGAAAGATAAAAATGAAAGCTGTTAAACTTTAAGGTGATCTGTTGAGATCTGAGCAAGCTGCATCATCCTAGATTGCCACCAAGAAGAGGCACTAGTAAACCAGTGGAGTACTTTATACCTAGAGTACCCAAGGAAAAATCGCTATAAATCAGGATTAACTTGAGGGCATATAATTATTAAGATTTATGAATATGAAGGCAGTATGCAACTCTCTTCTTAATAGGAAAAGCTGTCATTCATATACAATATCACTTGCAAAATAAAATCCTAGATTCTACTAAATTAAACAATAGTAATCCTACTAGACTCTTGAGAGTCCCCTGGACTCCAAGGAGACCAAACCTATCCATTCTGAAGGAAATCAACCCTGAGTGCTCACTGGAAGGACAGATCCGGAAGCTGAGGCTCCAGTACTTTGGCCATCTCATGAGAAGAGAAGACTCCCTGGAAAAGACCCTGATGTTGGGAAAGTGTGAAGTCAAGAGGAGAAGGGAACGGCAGAGGATGAGATGGTTGGACAATGTCATCGAAGCTACCAACATGAATTTTACCCAATGCCGGGAGGCAGTGAAAGACAGGAGGGCCTGCCGTGCTCTGGTCCATGGGGTCACGAAGATTTGGACATGACTTAACGATTAAACAACAACAACAACAACAATCCTAGTTATATTGAGTGAAATGCTAATTGGTGCATAGAACAACACAGACTGGAGTCCTAGCCTACAGCTACTCTTCATTATATTGTTTCTGTTTTGAATCTGACCATGTTCTCCTGACAAAACCTTATCTTTGGCACTTGTTACCTCTGGATTATCACACAGTCCAGTTCTTCTCACTCTTTAAAAAGTACTGAAAGACATGCCTAGTTTATTATGGCATTTCCATTTAAGTAGAATTTCAGTTTAGTGTGTTCTCAGTTACCTTTCCTTCCTCTTTTCTTTTCTTTTCTTCATGCGCCTGTTAGTTTAGCTTATTAGCAGTGCTGTTGCATACTTTCCTGGATTATGAGAATCTTTTCATAGAAGGAACTGTCCATTTGTTCTTAAACTTAGGAAAGAAATAACACCAAAGTGACTGGATGCTTCTTTTTAAAAACATGGAGAAATACCCATCATATGTGCATTAAAGTTAACTAGTGTAAGCAGGTGACTAAGTATTTGTCTAGTGGAAGAGTTGCACTTCTAGGTTTTACATGACTTGCCATAAACATTAAAAATATTTTGCTGCAACTATTAAAATCAATACTGTGGTCTACCAGCTGACATGTTTATGTAGACTCACTCTCCCTGCTTCTGCTAGGAAATGGAATTCTTGTGCAGCAGTAATAGCACAGTCACTACGATTTTTTCAGCTGGATGACCACTACAGACTATTGTCTTTACTTAGTATTGTTCTGTTCTCTTGAAAGAAGGGAAAGTTCCATTAAGGCTTCATTGTTACCCTAACCAAGAAATGTAGTACTGCACTGAAGTAGGGTGGGAAGACAACAGCACTTTGCCACTGGGCTGAGCTATGCAGAGACAATTACTACAGGCAGGAAGCTGTGCTATTTGATATTTTATGTCTGTTCTTGCTGCATTGAAGTTCTTTTCTTTATCTCTTCAACAACTTCCTCTTCTTTTCCCTTCTCTGTTTGGGTCTTTCAGCAGCAGTATCACCCGCACGCGGCTATTCTCATCATCAGGAGACGGATGAAGAGTTTGATGCTCGCTGGGTAACATACTTCAACAGACCAGAGATTGATGATTGGGAGCTGAGGAAAGGTGAGGTTGGGAAAGGAGTATCAAAGTGCTGAAAGGCCCTACTGAATGCACAGTAACATATTTTACTGAGAGACTATTCTTAGGAGAAGGTAAATAGCAATAGACCAGCTTACTAAGTAACTTGTTAGAAAACTTCATTTTGTCTTTGCCTCCATGGACAGGAAAAAGTAAATGCTATAAAACCTTTAGAATCTTTTTCAAAGAGATGTCTATGTTAGTCTGTTTCACCATGCTTAACAAAAATAAAGGCAAAAAAAGGTTGTGGAGCCTTGGAGATTAACACAGGTTTATTTAAAGGTGACCTTTTGTGAATTACAATCATTTGCTCAAACACATGGAGCTTAACAGTTGGGCCATAGGTTTATGTGCGCAATACACAGTAGAGGGGTGAGAAACTGACATGGGAAGAACCTCCTGGAGGAATGTTTGAGAATGCAGCCTAAAGAGGACAGGAGTCACCTCTCAAGACATGTACCATCAAATTTCTGAACTTCTGTCTGCATTTTTGTTTTTGTTTTTTGCACTATCCATGAAGCATTAGTGCTGAGCCTGAGGAAGTTGGGTTTCTCCACAAAAGTTTGCAGTTTATATGATTTTATAGTGGTCTGATAAAAGGTTTCACCCACCCTTGCATTTGTGCAATCTTGGGGACCACATGGCCTCATCCTTTTTCTCTCAGAGGGTAAAATGGGCTTTCAAAATGATGATGGTATTATTAACACCATTAATGATGTCAAAATGCTGATTTTTTGAGAAAAGAATGTCTTTGCTACTAGATGATAACTCAAGAAGTGTTCTGAAGTCTGAGTTCTGTCAGGAAAGAGCTTAGTTATATCTGTACCTCAGGACTTTGGACAGTTTAGATTTTGAATTTAAAACATTTTAAGTCATGCATGAAGCTTTGTTGTTTAAGTTTGTCTTAAATAGAGGGAAGAGAATCAGCCTTGTATGTACTGTGGGACTATCCAATGATGATGCAGGGAAATTTGTGCCATGCAGGACAGATAAAGTTTGGTTTGTATTATGAGTACATTCTGTGAAGCTTGGGTATACTCTAGAGATGGGGGTATTGGTATACGTATACAAATATCCCTGGGCAGCTGTAGTTAACGAGGGTCATGGCCCCTGGGGCTGGACTGCCCACTCACACGTCTGCTGGTGCTGGTGGACCCACTCATCCTTCCAATCACTCCCAACCGCTGTTCTCTTCCCGGCTGGCTAGCCACTCCTGGCAGAGGGAGAGAGGACGAGTCTCTCTGCAAGGCTGCCGAGTGGCTAGCAGAGCGGCACTTCAGAGCAATTGGAAGGAAGAGAAGGGCTGCCGCCAGACACGTGAATGGACGTTCTGGTCCCAGGGGCCGGACCCTCGTTAACTCCAGCTGCCCGGAGATATTTGTATACGAATACCCCCATTTCTAGTATACTCAATGTCGAGTTCTGTGGACACAGATGGCATCTGTGTGGCATATCTTGTGAGCTTGTAAGTGGATAAAAACCTGCTCTCATATTTGTGTTTCTTCTCACAGGTGCAAGTATGATATTTCAATATGATCTGGTCCCAGAACCAAAAATCATTGAAGCTGCTTTACGGGCATGCAGACGACTAAATGACTTTGCTACTACAGTCCGTCTCTTAGAAGCTGTAAAGGTCAGTAAAATGGTCCTGAATGTGAGGAACTGATGTCTTCTTCATTGCCTAATATAATATGTGTTGGGTCCCATTTCATTGGCAAAGAAAGTGAAGGGGGAAAGCAGGGAATCAAAGCGATTTGATCCCCCCCCTTCCTTACTTCTGTGTATAAGACGACCCTCAATTTTTAATCTAAAGATTTTAGACAAAAGCGTATACATGGAAAATACGGTAATTGATGCTTGAGAACTGGCTTTTTTTCCACATCACACCACAAAGGCACATCAGAACAGTACCGTTCAACATCTCTTGAATGTTAGACCATTGAACCAGTGCTAAGCAACAGGAGGAGCTTGGCGCCTTTTCATTTTTTTCCCACTGCGCCCTAAAAGAATAGTTTTTATAGGGTCGTCCTGCATGCAGAATTTATTATTTCATCAAGGAGAGAAAATTCAGGATAGAAACACTTCAGCCAGCAGCAGTGGCTGTCCACTCAGAAGACTGCCTTATGTGCATGAATCCAGAGGAAGCCCTGCCAATATCTCTCCATTAAGGCCACATACAAGAGGTTCTTTTCATTATCATTGCACTTCCAAATAGGGCACTGCCATTCAGCCTTTCTTTAGAACCCAAATGAATAAAGGTGCTGACAGCTTTGGTGGTACATGTTTATATGGCAGCTATTGTTTTATGTCTGTCATGGTCTTGTGATTGGTTCCTTAATTCATCTCCCTGGTCGTCTCACTGTTTCTGAAACAGCAAATCCAGTACATGGTGGTGGTTCTCCACATGGTGGAACAACATATCTATTTCACTGGAGCACAGGGAGGAGCGATACGGTGGTGCCTCGCTAGACAGTTACCCCGCATGACAGTTTTTTCGCTAGACACTGACTTTTTGCGATTGCTATAGAGATTCGCAAAACAGTGATTCCTCTGGGGGAATTTTGCTGGACAATGTTTGGTCCCTGCTTCACAAACCGATTTTTGCTAGACGACGATTTTGACAGCTCCCTCCACGCTCACAAAACAGGTGTTTTCGGGACCTAAGCTTTGCAAGACAGCGATTTAAACAGCTGATTGATGGTTCACAAAGCGGCTTTCCTATGGCCGATCTTCGCTAGACAACGACGATTCTTCCCTATTGGAATGTATTAAACAGGCTTCAATGCATTCGTCGGGAAATGCTTTTTGCTAGACAATGATTTCGCTAAACAGTGATTTCAGTGGAACGGATTATCATCGTCTAGTGAGGCACCACTGTATTTAGTCATCCTTAGTGGCATCTGCCCAGGTCATGAATATTCATATGCTATTTGCATAGAGCAATGGGAGTACTGGAGGGGCAGAGCCACAAGATATAAAAAACTCAGCAGGAGGAGGGGGAGGTAGTGGAAGAGTCAGAGTTGAGACTGAGAGTTGGAAGAAAGTTTTGGGAGTTTGGGCAGGATAGTGGCGGTTGAGAGTGAAATGAAAGGATGCTTGTTAAGAGTTAACATTGCTTGTCCTGTCAACATCTGTAAAAATAAACGAATGCATCCCCTTGGCATACCAATCCAGGGTGGTCTTATGCTTCATTTAGTGTGAGGAGTGAAAGCCTTAATGCACAAGCATTGGCAGGACAGCCTCGTGGGTCACCCTTTCCACCTTTAAAAACCACAATAGGATCAGTAAATAAACACCAGGTGAAATTTTCTTTGGCCATGTGTTGGTCCAGTATGTTCTTTGAGCTACCTTCCCAGTTGTGGAGGAGTGTTGCTGTGGTACAGCTTTTTTGTGCCAGATCCATTCTTCCAGTGAACTATAACAGAAAGTTTGTGTTACCATGAAGGTCAGTGAGAAGTGGACCCAATACCACCCCCTGGGTGGTGATTTGTTTGCAGAAGAGACATGGAGGAGCAATAGAACTTGTGTTTGCACAGTCCTTGTTCTGATGTATTTGGCTTTGTGAAGTCCTTGCCTGTTCTGTGCTGTGTGTTAATGGTTCAGTATGTTTTCTAGTTGTTGTTGTTGACAGTTCTGTTTCCTCAGCCACTGGTTCTATATTGCTGACTGTGAGCTTTGTGACTAGGGGTAGGGTCCTTCTTCCTGGCCAGAGCTGGAATTTTGTAATGTACTTCAAGATGAAAGAGGTAACCCTTTTATGCTGTCCACTTATCAGAGGGAAACTTTCTATAAGAGGCATGTATTTTGCATATTTAAAAATATTTTTGAAAGAATGCTTCAGTGGACTGACAATCGTATATTAATTATTTCCTTGAAGACATAGGCATCCTGCATATTTAAGATGTCCTTCATCTATTTTCCCAGGCAGATTCCAACACCAGTTCAGCAATACATCTATAGTGGCAGCATCCAAGCTGTCCTCACGTAGCCAAGGGGGAGGGAACAAAGCAGACATCCCAGGCCATTCCATAGTGCATAAATGGATCAATCGGGATTTCGTCATCCCCTGCTGAGGATCTCCCAGGGCTGCCCAGTGGCTCAAAACGCATTCCAAGAGGTCTGATCCACTGGTTGTGGAGGGAAAAAAATCACTGGAGAAGAGCCGGCCGATGCACCAACTGTTAGCCTTGATTTTTAAGGCTTAAATTTGGAGCTAATCTCCAGCAGAGGGTGGGACGCAGAAGAGCCAGCTGTGATACAAGTTTTGTAAAAAGAGCAAAATATACCAAAACAGACAGCTGGGGCTCCTCTCTTAAAGAGTGAGAAGCCCCCCCAAAAAATACATAGGTCAGATACATATATACTATTTACAAACAAAGAGTCATAAACCCCAAAACTGTGATTGGGTCTAATCTGCAACAAGTTTGAATTCTTGCCCTAATTGGTGTTTAGGTTGTGATCCCACAACCTCTTGGTTCTTAATAGGGAATGGAGAGATGGAGGCTCTTGTTGTCCCTTCTAATTTTCAGACATCCTGGCACTCCAGATGTGTATTCCTTATCTATATGTTGATGTTGCTCCTCCTGAGGACTAAGGATCTGCTGTGTTGTAAATGGGCTTCTTCGCACCTAGTTTCTAGGAGTCTAGTTCGGCTAAAGTTCACTACATTAGATGTGATGAGTCCTAATTCTTTAATTCTTATTTGTTTGCTGTGTTACTCTATATTGCTATATATTTCCCTACCTTCTTTATTTCTTTATTCAGTACCTACTTGTTATCATAAACCTCTCTAGGTTTTGCTTTTGTTCCATTTATAAGCTAAATTCATGTTATTTTCCCTTCATTAGGACAAAGCTGGACCTCACAAGGACATATATCCATATGTCCTCCAGGAGCTTAGACCAGTTATTAATGAATTGGGAATCTCAACTCCAGAGGAACTTGGTCTGGACAAACTGTAAAGTTTATAGGTAAGGGAACAGTTATTTCAGTCCTCTACATCAGGGGTCCCCAACCCCTGGTCTGCAGTCTGTAGCCTGAGCTGGACCTGGCTGTGGAGACAGATTCCCCCCCCCACGTACTCCCCCTTGCACAGCCCCTCCGGCCCCTCCGCACAAGCGCATGAGTGCCCCCCACCTTTATGCATGTGCATGAATGTCTGTGAACACCCATGCCCCTTCACACATGCGTGCAAGTGCTCCTCTGCCCTTCGTGCATCCACGTGAGTGCCTCCTGCCTCTTTGCACATGCGTGCGAGTACCCACCCTCACGCATGCATGCGAGCGCAGGGGTGTTCCACGCCTTCCCCAGCTGGTCCGTGGTATCAGAAAGGTTGGGGACCACTGCTCTACGTGGCCTATGCTAGCCTAAAACTCTATATTAGTTGTTAGAGTTGAGAAGAATTCTTGAAACTATATTTTAACATGGTTTTGTTAAAATAGATACACAGTTTGGCGAGTGCTTGTAGAAAAGTTGGTTGAAAAATGCAACCAAATAATTTAAATGTTATCTTATGTAGAACAGATAGATTTCAGTGGGGAAAAAGAAGACCTAGTCAATTTCTCCAAAAGACTAGATAATAATACAGTGGTTAAAATCCTGTTGCTTAGCATAATAAGTCACGAGTAGGCCCATGGAACATATGGAGGAGTTGATTCACCAAATCCCCACTGATACCATGGGCTTATTCTGGTTATGGCTTATTATGCTGGGCAACAGGATTTCAGCCACTGGATGTATTTCAGGTATTATAAAGTCAGGTTTGATATTTTGGCATTTATTTCTACTGTAGCCTTCTAATGTTCCTGTCTACTTGGTTGTCTCCAACTAAGTGATCCTTTCACACTTTGCTGCTGGCAGCTAGGTGTGTGTGTGCACGCGCACGTATGTATGTGTTTTGTAGTTATTTTTGCTATTCATAAGGGGAATAGACCAGCCTACTTGGGCTTCATCATTGCTGTTCTGTTAACAGAGCAGCATTAAAAATTTTGCAAAGACATCAGTGCTCATAGTTTGAAAGTATAAGTTTATGGGGGGAAATTGTCAAGGGGTAGGCAAGTTCAGGGAGGTTTTTTTGTCTTCAGCTCCTATCCTATCTGGATATGGCCAGAAATGCCCCCAGAATAAAGAATGGGGGACAAAGTGGCCGGATGGCCACTTCTGACTTCATTTTTCTTTGTTTGGGATCCTGAGGGGGAGGGAGGATGGGTGGACAGACAGACAGAAGGACAGATGGATTGGCTGATGGACAGACAGTGCTTCTAGAAGTCTGTACAACTGGATAAAACAATTCCTGCCACCCTCCTTTTTTACCTAGGGTCTGAGAAATGCCCATGAGGGGCATTTACAGCCCATGAATTGTGTGTTGCCCACTCTGGCTTACCATCAGGACAGCAGGAAGAGAACAAAATACAACAGACCTTACTTTTCTTAATTTTTAAGCCTGCATAAACTTAATTTGTTATGTCAATGTAATATTACTTTCCTTTGAGTGTCCACTTGGTATAGTGATCTTTAGAGAGAAAAGACAGGTTTACTTAATAAGAATGATTTGAGTTCTTCTAATGCAGGGGGGAGCAGCATAAGGGGAAATGGGGGAGAGGAAGCTTTGCATATTTTCAGATGGGATCTTGTTTAGAAAACTGGCAGTTGGAAGAGTAAGAGTTGTTTTTCAGACCCCTCTTCCAATTTTTATACTAAAACAGACACACATGTCTGGGGGAATTAGCGTTATGGGAGAAGGTGCCACTGTCCAAGGTTCAGAGTTGAGCACATGCAACTTCCAGACCTCTGGAGATTTCCCACCCTTCTCCAAAAGCAACACTGGTAGTAGTGAATTGGGGCCTCAGCATATTTCCTCATTGGCAGCTTCTTAAGATAATCTAGTGTTTGGAGAACCGTCTACTTTATGTTGTGTGTAAATATTAGAAACACATGAAAAGCTTTAACATTAGAAACAATGCAACTAATTTTAGTAAGCCCGTTTGAATTGAGAGTTGTGCTTACTTCTGTTCCTCTTCTCTGCCTTGAGTCTGAAGCCTAGCCCAAAGAGGCTGAAGATTACATCCTTTATATTTTCTGGAGAGGGTGCATCAGTTTAATAGTTCCTTCCCTAAAGAGCAAAATATTAGCAGATATAATATAGCACATGAACTGGGGGGACTTAGAACTGTTTCAAACTGGATTGCAGGGTCTCTGTTCTTTGAGGTGTTGAGATGTTACAGGGCTGGCATAGAGAAATGGCAGAAATGTGGAGGTCTCTCAAAGACATTTGGGGGAGCAGCCTTTTCAGCCTATAGATCAGAGTGTCTTTCCCAACTCTTCCATCCCTTTTTCTTTTAGAGAGGCTTTGTGGTGGCTGGGAGAGTCCAAGAGAACCAGAAAAGAGGGTAGCTGTCTTTCAACTAATCCCCAATATCTTTTCTCTTCCAGATGAGTTTTGATGAGTGCATTGTTAATGCTACCTGACCATACAACAATTGCCTGGAGACAGACAATTACTATATTACTTATTGGAAATTATTTCTGCCTTTTATTGAGTCCTGGAGTATGCATTGTGAAGCTGGACCTAATAAAGGGGAACTGGTTTGAACTGAATTTAGTCTAGTGGCCTCTGATTATATATTGGAAAATAAGGTATTACTTCCCAAATCCAAAAGTTAATTGAATCCTCTCTCTGTATATATACATATATCTATATATATGACACACTGCATGCATTTCATTTATGATGCCCCATTCCCCTTCCAAACTGCATTGATTCTTTTGTTGGTACATGACCCTTCCCTTTAATTAATACATAGTCGATAAAAATTCCCAAAATATATCTAAAGATATTTTTGTTTATGAAACTGTAAACTTAATATCACAAGTTAATTTATCATTAAAAGCAATATTCCATACTTCTTTACACCATTCATTTAATTAAAATTCATATTTTAATTTACAATATTTAGCTGTTCTGCAAATACTGTTTGTTACCAATTTTTTCACTGTTCAATTCCATAGGACAGTAATGTACTGTTAAAATACTTATCTGCTCTAAATTCTGTTGATCTTGGCCCCAGAATTTCACAACATAACATTGAATCTGCCAATTCAGGGTAAATGAATTCCAATAAAGTTCCAATGCTTATTTCCCTATATATTTTACCTATTTAAAGATTATATGCCTTTATTCCCAAATAACACTTCCATGCATACAACTTATATTTCATGCTACTGGAGAAACGTAGAAAAGCCACAAAATTAAACACAATGTGCCCTTAATTTTTTAAAAAGCAGTGTTACCAAACCTTATGGTTTCAGAATGGGTTTGAAAGTAGAGTTGTGTGATTTCCCTAGTTTGTTTTGGGAATGGGTTCACAGCTTCAGAATTGATCCGGCTTCATTCCAGAGCAATTCATGCCCCATATGATTGGGTTTGCACCACAAGTCTAAATTTGTTTGTAAAGCCTTCTGTTGACTTGCACTAGGAAACCGAAATGGCTGTTAACTTTTTTATATTTTTCACTGATGGTACGTAAAATTTTTGAATGGAAGATAGACACTAAAGAGGGGAGTGAGCCTGCTGAGTGCAAGACATTAAACTTCAAGGATTTACATACTAGGCACATTTAAAACTTTGCTTTAAAAGGGTGTGGTGGTGGTGGGGCAAAAAGAAAGGCCAAAGTGGTTTCTGATCCATCGATTCACTTTGTACTCTGGACATGACTTGTAATTTTTTTCTCTCTTGGAAGTCAGTCTGGCCATTCTGCCTCAGTCAGCACTTCCTACAGACTGGCCTGAATCAGGCCAATTAGGTTAGTAATTAGGGTATTCACTAAAGCCAGTGCAGAGCTCATTTTGGAACTATATTACCAATCCAGGTGAATTTTTGGATATTGGAATTATGGAGTAAGATATTCATTAATCCTATAGCAAGAATTCCTTGTTCCTTCCTGTAGCTGGCGAATTGGTTACATGCAGGGTAAGGAAAGCCAAGACTAACACAGGTACTTAAGGGTATACTTAGTTTATATATGGAAATCTTGTTTTCCTGCATTTTTTGAGAGCATTACCTATATTATAACTTTTGAGAGTGCTATGCAACATCTTTTTGCTTCCTCTGGAATGGGCATGAAGACCCTTGAGAAGTAACACAAGAAGATGATTCTTTTGGCTGGAAAACCTCCTGGCTATGCTCTCTAAGCAGGTGGAAACTGAATGATGGCAGCCAGGAGGAACTGCTGGTCATCCATGCAGCAGAAATAAGAGTTTCCAGTGTACTTCATAAAACGAGGAACGTGTGTACTTTGAATTTAACATCAGTACCATGGTGAAGTCTGTATTTTTGTTTAGGTTTGAGTGACAACTATTTCCACTTGATACAAAGAAGTAATTGCCTTTCAAACATAATCTCACTGTTCTGAAGCACAAATATCTAGGACAATTGTTGCTATTAGTCTTTTCCAGATGAGATTTCTTAAATATATGGACAACCAAGGGGAAACTAAACAGGAAGAGTTTTTAAAAAGTTACTTTCTAGGTTGACATAAAATTCATGAGAAAATGGTTCACTTTCTATTCTTAAATGCATTTTCCTCTCTTTTGTTCTTGCAAACTGTAATGAATAAAAATGTTTGAGCACACTTTATTTTCCATTATTTTTTCACCACTGGAAATTAAACTTTACATTTTTCTGAATCACTAAAGTCCTCAAAACTAAATGTCACAGATCAGCCTTTTGAGGAAAGCCTTGTGGTTAGGGCAAAAATTTGATGCATCAATCAATTTCTAGCCAATATTTGCACAACAGTGAGGAGAACCATTTTTGACGGAAAAATCATGGGTAGTTTTCAGGCATGATGTATATATCAGCTTTATGCTCTAGAAGTTAGTATGTTATATACAGTAGTTCAAAAGTAATTGCTGTCCAGTATTCCTGTAGCACCCACAATTATGAAAGTACTATAATGCTAAATGCTATCAGTCTGGTCTAAGGAGAGCATTGGCAGGACACATTCTCTCCATACGCAAGGTCCCAAATTCAGTTATCTGACATTTCCTGGCCTGGGGAAAAAAATCAAACCCTGGAAAGCTACTTGCAGTACTGGGATTGATTAATGAATAATGTGATTTATTTCATGACTTGTCAATAAATGTACAGTATCGCTGCATGCAAGAATTCACATTTTTAATCTTCTATTTTTCCTTGTTAATTTACACACTAAAGCTCTTGTGTGCCAGGAAGAAATCTAGCTTAGCATATGTCTACTTTGTTGTGCCTCAATTTGGGAACGGCCGTATCTTGGTGGCAAAACTTATAATTGGCATAGAAAAGCAGTTTTAGCCCAGCTTTCAAGGGTGAACTAGGAAATTATTGTCCTGAAGCCCTGGGTGCTGCTCACTGTCAACATTCCCCAACTAAATGGACCAAAGGTCTGACTTAAAAACAAGGCAGCTTCCTTATTTCTTGAAGGGAAGAACTTGTTTGTCAGGAAATCCTCTGCCGTGCGCAACTTTACTTAAGCACCTATAAAATTCTGGTCATATTGGCAAACCTAGTTTGGACTGAGTAATGTTGGCTTGTAACTCTCCATTGGTCTTTACCATTCGGCCATGCTGATTGGGGCTGGTGAGTGTCCCTAATCCAAAAAAAAAAAAAAAAAAATAGGACACTGAATTCCCCTAACCCTCTTTTCCAGTTTTCTAGAGGTGTTACTCCATTAAGGGCTTTTGCCCTGTAATGACAGAATTAAAAACAAAATGGCACGACTGTAGAGTTCCCCTGCCTCTAGCTAGTCTAGCCTCGAGCATCTGGGATTTTTCACCCCACTGCGGAGGAGAACCGTGCCATGAGGTGACACAAAACCATTGTACAGTACAGGGTGGGAAGTAGTAGCACAGCCTGGGAGAGGATGATCCCTCAGAGGGATCATCCTCTCGCAGGCTGTGCTACTTGTAAATAATCTGTGCTAAGGTGACCAACGGACTATAATTCCTACAAGCCTGCGCCGCTGGCTGTGTTTGCCTGTGGCACATGGGAGTTGTAGTCCAACATCTGGGGCACATGGAAGTTGTAGGGCAACATCTGGATCGTTGCCATAAGAGTGGCGGCTTCGAATTATTGCCAGGAAGGGTCTCGCTCCGCTTAAAGTGATCGCCTAGAGTGGTCTTTCGACTAGATGGGGGGTATAAATGCAATAGATAATAAATAGTAATAATTAAAGGCTCCCAGGGCGAGGCAGTACCATAGAGCGCTAAAGCCCCCAGCACGCCTAGAGCGCCCCTTCCAGCCCTCTTGGCTTCCATCTCCCACCGTCTCCCGAGAGGATGAGCCGTCTCTCATTGGTTCGTTCGGTTTCCCATAACAACCAATAAGAGTTTAGCGATTAGGGCACGAAGGCTGGGAGGCGTTTTAGCAGCGGGCCAATCCGGGAGGACGTCAGGCGCCAAAATTTGGGACGCCTCGAGCCGGGAGCGGCTTCTGACTATTGGTGGGCTCGGGTGATGACGTCAAGGAGGGGGCGCGGCTGCCAGGCGGTTCCCTGGAGGAAGCGGCTATGGCGACGGGAGATGGAGGGGAAGGGGAGCCGTCGAGGCGGAGGGACGCCGGGCCTCCGCCGGGGCCGAGCAGCGAGCCGGTGAGGGAGGGGAGAGGGAGGGGGTGGCTTGGCTGTTAGACCTACCTGGGGGGTGGGGGGGGGGTTACTAGTCCCCAGCGTGGGAAGGTTGCTTTTTTGGATTACAAGGCCCATCATCCTTCAGTCATCACGGCCGTTAATCTGGCATCCCATTCACCACAGTTGTTTTTTTCGGAATCTTAAGAGGCAGTGGTCTTCGCTCGCCCCTGTTCCGCCACAACTGATGTTAGGAAGTTGACTGCTCCTGTGCCTGGAGGCTCCATCCCTTGCTGTCATGGTGAAGAACTGTGGGTAACCCAGGACCCCAGAAATGGGCGGTGGTCCTCCAGAACAGCCATTCTCCACAGGGGCCCTGGCACATTCGAAGGGGGCCACAGGCTGAAAACTGTGAGAAGTTTCTGAAGGATATCTATTGGGGTTGTCTCCTTGTTTTGACCGCGGGTGGGGGGGGGCTGGAGCCTGAGAAGTGCTCCTACAAAGGCCATGGCCAAGAAAATGTTGACAGTAGCTGCCCTAGATCAGCCGTTCCCAACCTTTTTTGTTTTTGGCCACGACCATAAACACAATGTAAAAGAAACGTAGGTCAAATTAGGATTGTATAAGTCACATAATGAGCCATATAAAGTGGTGTGAATTGTTTACAGTCTGTGGCCCCCTTCAAATGGGACAGGGTCCCCAAGGGACGTGGTGATGCTGTGGGTTAAACCGCAGAAGCCTTTGTGTGCTGCAGTGTCAGAAGACCAGCAGTTGTAAGATCGAAACCCCGTGACGGAGTGAGCTCCCATCGCTTTGTCCCAGCTTCCACGAACCTAGCAGTTTGAAAGCATGCAAATGTGAGTAGATAAATAGGGACCACCTCGGTGGGAAGGTAACGGCGTTCCGTGTCTAGTCATGCTGGCCACGTGACCACGGAAGATTGTCTTCGGACAAAACGCTGGCTCTACGGCTCGGAGATGGGGATGAGCACCATGCCCGAGAATCGGACACGACTAGACTAAATGTCAAGGGGAACCTTTTACCCCAATGGAACTATATGGCCCCTATTGAGAATGGCTGCTCTAGGTCAAGGATGGGGGAAACTATGGACTTCCATACGTTTTCAGCTACAACTCCCACACTCCCCTGCCGTCAGTCATATTGTTTGGTGCTTCTGGGAATGGCCTTCATTTCCCTTTTCCTGTCCAACATATTGTTGAGATATAACTCCTGCCAACCCTAGACAGCATCATTGGTGGAGAAGGATCATGGGACTTGTGTTCCAGTAATAGCCAGGCGTCACCTGTTTCATTTGCTTCTCTTAGTACAGCCTGTGACTCGCTGAGTATTTTGGATAAGATGTCCTGAAAGTGTCAGCTAGCAGAATGGTCAGTGGCCAGGGATGATGGGGGCACTGAGAACATGATGTGGTTGGTTGGTTGCCTAGACCTCTAGCGTCTGTGGCTGAGGAAGGAAGTGGAGAGATACTCAGTGCACATTATGAGTACTGGACTATCTCCCATCCCATTACAGTTCCATCTCCCCTTGCTTTCACAGAGTTCAAGGCAGGGTGGAAAAAAATCAAATTGATTTAAATCATGATTTAAATAAAAAGAAAATTGAATTTTTAAAATTTAAATCATAACAATATTCCTATTTTTAAATTTTAAATTATGATTTAAATCAAATTGAATCAAATCTACCCCAGTTCAAGGTGGAAACATTGGATTTTTCTAGCATTATTCTTGGCAGTGAGCTGCGAGAGGGCTTAGGACAGGAGTGCATGACAGACCCAAAGTGAGCCAGCCTATTTCATGACCAGAGTCGGGGGGTCTGAACCCCAGCCTCCATCTCCCCTGGTGTCCTTGAGTTTAGCAGAAGACTTCTGATCTGCAGAGGAGGATGAAATTGGGGGCAAATTGTTGAAATGAAGCTAGGAAGAAATGTCTGAGTGACAGAGCTGAGCATTTGTTCTGGGGCTATACAGAGCAGAGACTGATAATGTTATCTTTCAGGGCTATACGTTGGCTGGAAGATTTTGGGCCTTGATTTGAACAATGAGGCTGTGAAAGCTTAGAATTTCTATTGTTGGTGCAATCACCATCTTTCTAATGAGCAAGAAACCACTGAGTGCTAAACATGGGGCAGGCACAGTTAGTTGCATTGGTTGCTGTCCAATAGTACGTCATTACTAGAGTAGGTGGGTGCATTGAATCAGTGGGGATTTGGTAGTTGTTTTTGTTGTGAAGGTAATAAGTGGGGAGGAAGAGACCCATGTATGCCACTTGGAACTCCTTCAATGAAAAGTAAAATTAAAAAGTGAGACACAAACCAGTAGAAAATACCAGTGTAGAAGGTTACAATAGGAGGAGATCTTAACACATCTTGTCTTTCTGATGTATTGGATGATAGGTCTCATCAGCTCTAGCCAGCATGACCTATGGTCAGGGATGATGGGGTTTATTGTCTAAAACATCTGGGGAGTGTATGGGAGTTGGGAGTAATAACACTGGTAAAAATGTTGGCAGAATAAAAGTCAAGAAGACATGCCTTTTTTCCATTTTCCTGTCTTTAAGAGGTAGTTTCTGTTCTGTGCAATGGCAGTTATGCTCCTATTTTCCTACCCAACAGGGACAGCGGGACAAGAAGAGGCCAGTTAGGGAGACTTCAGTAGAGAAAAGGGGGCCGTACATCATGAACAAAGCTCCTTCTATTCAGGACAAACTCCGTAAGTCTTGAGCACAGAAGCAGCAGGAGATCCTGTGCCTCCGTTTATGTGGGGTGGAAAACATTGAAAAAGGTTCTGGTGCTATTTTAAATTAGTTTGTGAATACATGTGTTTGTATGTATCTGCCTCTATCCATATCAAATGAATGTTGAAAGGCAGGAATAAAATGGTTGCTGCGGCAGGTGGAATGAGGATGTTGACTGAAAGGGACTGAGTGTCATGGGTGACTTGGGTGGGGTGGAAGGAAGTGCTTGTAGAGGAGAACGAAAAGAAATGGAAGCTCAGCTCTTGCCATCCAGTCATCAGGTTTGGGGGCATGTTAGAAAAGGAGGATGAATTTCCATGACAGATGACTGGGTTGAGGTGGTTTCATTTTTCACCCTTTTCATTTACTCAGTTGAGCTCAAATGCATGGCTCTCCTCTTGCATGTTATTCTCAAAACAACCTGGTGCCGTAGGTCAGGTTAAAAGAGAGTGGTTGCCTCAAGGTCCTCCAGTGGATTACATGGCTGAATAACGGCTTAAACTTAAAGGATTCCTAGTCCCAACCCAACAGGGTGAACCAGTACGACTCATTGGCTTCTTCAAGAAGACTCTTGGCTTATATTGTGAGCCAGCTGTTGCAGAAAACCTTGACATGTCCTCTTCTTTTTGGCATTTTGAGTATTTTCAAGACTGTTTCTGCATTCCATGGCTGAGCTGATGAGTCTGGTGGCCATAATTCCATACAGGGTGAACTGGCTTGCGGTGAATCTTTCTCCTCTTGTCCCTGTGCAGTGAATGTGTGTGCATGTTTTCCCAGAGGGCAGATAGGTTGATGACAATGACTCTTCCCCAGGAGTAGGCAGGCCATGAACACTCATTGAACCGGTGTTTCCACTTTTTCTTTGGATGCAGAAAAACATCGCGAAATGGCCAAGGCAATGCTACGAAGGAAAGGAGTGCTTTCAGGAGCGGTCCGGCACCAGCCCAAATCAGCCACCAAGAGGTCCAAGCCCTTTTCCTCTTATTGTTGAATGGCAATGGTTGCTTTTCAGAGGTACCCAGCATACAGGGCATGTGGGAAGCTGGGCATTGTGCAAAACTGAACCCTCCCCACCTCCCAGGTATCAGTAATGGGGAGCTGGGAGGATAAGGAACACTGTGTGTGACCTCTCACTGGAGGTGTAAATCCTTGTCTTGTTCTTTCTTGTGAGAAGGAGAAACTGCATTTTCCCATGGTATTATCCGGCAGTCTCAGCTAGAGCGTTCATATTTGCAAGAGTGCATTTGTGCAACTACCATATTTTTCTGTGTATAAGACTATACTTTTGTCTAAAATCTTTAGACTAAAAATTGAGGGTTGTCTTATCCGCGGAAGTAAGCTGAGGAGAGAACAAAAACAAGTGGAGGGGAAAGCAGGGATCAAAGTGATCCTGCCATGCTTTTATCCCTTTCCCCCTACACTTGCTAAGCCCCACTTAGATTTCTTAATTTTGGGTTAGAAAAGTGGGGGCGCGCGCCTTATACACAGAAAAATACGGTAATTTAATAATAATGGTGTGTTCTCCAATTCTGACTTACAGAGATCCTTTTCAGGTTTTCCTAGGTAGAGAGTATTCAGAGTGGTCATATTGACGAGATAGGTGGGGTACAAATAGAATAAATAAATAAATAAGTAGTTTTCCCTTCCCTTCTTCTAGGGTCAGTCCAGGGACTTTGCAGCTGGCCCAAGGCCACGACAGGCAGGCTGTTCCCCCAGGATTCCCAGTGGGGAGCCAAGCTCCCAACCTTTAGCCCTGAACCAGGGCTAAATCACTGAGCAATCCAGCCAGCGCAAATAATTTAGATTGCTCAAAACTACTATGGTTGCTGCCTTTCGGCACGGCATGTAAAAAATTAGATGCATTATGTGGGTTGTTTGTGTATTTTTAACCAATTGGCCGCTCCCTCTGTCCTTGCTTGTAGAATGTGCCTGCGTGCGTGTAGCTTCACATAAGGGAAGAGGTGCTGGTTTTCACAGAGACGATTTATGGAAATGCTAGAAACCTCAGAGGGACAAGAGCACTGAGTCTTTTGCCCTTGCGCTGACAGTGAAAAGCTTTGTGGGGCCTGGAAATTCCTTGACAAAGTAGTCTGAATTAAGGAGAGCGTCCCTGCCCTCTGGATTTACAGGGACCAACTGTTTGCCATCATGAGACATACCCGTTGTGTCTTTAGAGCACTTGGAATCAACTGTGTTGCTGGGCCAAAGCATAAACTCTTCAGGCATAGTTTGGTCAGTTAGTACACTGGTTCTTAACCTTGGGTTACTCAGGCATTTTGGACTGCAACTCCCAGAAGCCTTCACCACCAACTGTGCTAGCTGGGGTTTCTGGGAGTTGCAGTTCAAAAGCATCCGAGTAACAAAGGTTAAGAACCACTGAGTTAGTAAATCACGCTTCTGGCCGTTTCACTGGGGAACTCTTGTGTTTCGGAGTTCTTTGATTTCTTTCCCACCTTTTCCCCAAAATTGGGACTCGCAGTGTGTTGCAACAACATTGGCTAAAAAGGACTCAGTAAAAACATTGGAAGTTGTAATGTTAAAGCTCAGTTAAGCACATTAAAGGTTTATCATATTACTGTACAGGGTTCAGCAGCAGTGTTGATATATTTTGATAGAAAATAAAGCAACCGTCAGTAGATTATTGAGTGATTAAAAGGGTCTTTGCCTGCTAGTGGAGGGACGGGGTGGGGGGGCAACTTAGCATCTCCAGGAAGTGAGATCCAGCATCTGGGAGCAGCTATTAAGAAGGCCCAGAGTGCTTTGTTGAAGAGGAGAGATGGCAACTTAGCGCCTCTTCCCTCCACCAACTTTCCCAGTGACTGTCCCAAGGCTGTTTCTTGACTGAAGATTTGAACTGTTGTCCTCTGCCCTGAACATGGCACTTTCCCTTTTGTATTCCCATGGGTGTAGAAGATACTTTGCATTAATTGGTGCCTCTTTCTCCAGGTCTGTGAAATTCAACAAAGGCTACACTGCTGTCAGCCAGACCTCAGACGAAACATTGGTGTCCCTGGATTCAGACAGGTGAGGGTGTGGAGCGGCCATTTTATTTACCTGGCGGCCATTTTGGAACCGCCGATCAGCTGTTCTAAAAAGATTGTTATGCAATAATCGGTAAGCGAAACAGCTTACCGATTATCGCAAAGCGATTTTTTACTATTTAAAACATTGTCATGCAATCGCTTTTGCGATCGCAAAAACACATCGCTATGCGGATTCATCGTTAAATGAATCGCTCATTATGCGGGGCACCACTGTATAGGAAACCCTCAAAGGGCCACGGAATGAGCAATTTAAATTGACATTCTTTCCAAATCTCTTTCCCCAATGTATTTTAAAGGAAAACATTATTGTAGCCATCTGTCTTTCTTTTTTAATTGATGTACAGTACTGTATTTCAGAAGAGGCCTAAGTTTTATTGTTTTATGATACTAGAGGTAGAGAAAGGGAAGGTCCATGTCTTTACACTTTGCATACAAGGACTGTGTCCCCATAGTTCACTAGGGAGACTACATTCAAACTGCAATGAGGCGGGATCTCCTCAAAGGGAAGGGCCTGCTTGGTGGACATGGGCAGGAAAAGTCAAGCAGGCTGGAACACTGGAACATCCCACTTTAAATGGGATTTAAATGGGATTTGTGGAGAAACAGTCCATTAATTCATAACCTCTATAGCATATGCTTGAGCCAAAGTGTGAAAAATTCCCAGAGTGACTTGCAGTATAAACACAGTGCTTAATATTCAAAAGGCATGGAATCAAAGGAAGGTGGGATGAGGAGGAGAAAGGATGTCGAAATTAAACTAGAGCATCACTTTGAATGCCATCAGGTTCTTAAAATATTCCATTGGCTGAAATCCTGTTGTGCAGTTCCATGTGCACAGAGATGCGCAAGTGGTACTGAAAACCATGGACGGCAGATGTGCAGTTCCTGAAGTGTGTCTGGATGTGTGCCGCTCAAGGGTTGCAAAGGGAGCAACACGTTCAACTACGCAATCCACTTGTGCCATTTGGACGACCTGGGCTACCGTTGGGAATGCTTGCGAAAGTGTGACTTCACATTATCCAAAGACTAACTGGATTTCAGCCGATATGCTGTGGTAACCAATGCTGCAGTACAACCAGACGCTCTTGGTCTTCTCAGGATCAGCTGATTTCTCAAGAGCACTGATGGAGTTTCTTTCCTATGAATGGATATTGGACCCAGTGGAACCTCCAGGTTCAGAGGCAGTAGCCTTCTGAAGACATCTTGTTGGGGAGTAAAAAGACGAAGAGGGCTTTTACTTTCATGTAGAGATGAGCACAGGCTGCCATTTCCTCTGGCAGGCACCCACTCAGAGGCAATGGCTTGGCTTTCCTGCCCCGCCTCCTCTGTTTACTGCCTCTAAGTGGGTACCTGCTGGAGGAGGCGGGGCCTTGAAATGCTGAACACCTGTTTGGTCTATAAATGAACCACCGAAGAACAACCTGCGGTTTATGCCCATCTCTGCTTTCATGTCTTCCTCCTGAGCTGTCACCTTGGGGGAAACGGTGTGCCCAACTAGATCAATCTTTGATCTGGTCCAGTAGGATTCTTGCAGGAAACAGCTTGGGAAAGACTGGTTATAGCACAAAGTCCTCTGGTGGTGATTGTCTTAAATAAAGGAGCTGGGATACAGAAATGTACAGTAATACTTCACTTAGCCCTCAGGATGTGTTCCAAGAAAACCAAGTGCTAAGTAAATCAGTACTAAATGGGACAACGTAACATTGTGGTGTGTGCCTAAAGTTCTGTAGGTGTTGTCTACCTCCGGCATGGGAGGAGGTAGGCTGGGCCACAGAGGCCCCATTGACCTCCATTAGGTAGGCCATGCTCCCGTCGAGCACCTCAAGGTGGCTGCTGGAGCATGTGCGCTACAATAGCACTATACAGGGTATTACTAGACAAGCCGTGGTCTTTGAGCATCTCCTGACTCTTGGCTGTTCTTCTTCTAGTGATGGGGAGCTGGAATCACGATGTTCCTCAGGTTACTCCTCTGCAGAGGCAAGTTTGCTGCACTGTTTGTTTTGTTTGTATTCTGTGTGATTATGATTCAGTGTACAGTACTTATGCCTTCTGAGCCCGTAAAGAATCTCAAAGTGTTTCACAACAATAAAGAGAAAATGGAATTCTTAAAAAAATACATTACGAGTAATTTTTAAAACATTAATTGTGGAAGTGTTTTAACAGCTAACAAATGCTCTAAAAAGTCATATTTAAAACTAGTTTTAAACCTTGAAGGCTGTGTGGAAAGAATGCAGCCCTGGCTTCCTGACGGGAGCTCAGCAGGGAGGGAGCCCTCCTGACTTCTTTTAGGAAGGAGCTCCGCAGATGAATGGCTGCCACGAAGCAACCCGTTTTGTGTACTCGCTAACCGGCTTCCTTGTGTGGTTGGGCACAAAACAGGGCCCTGAGACAGCCTTTGGGGTGTTTGGGCTCCAGGCCATTTAGGCCCTAGTAGATTTTTAAAACCAGCATTCTGGATTGAGATTGGAACCAAACTGGAAGGCAGCAGAATTTGTTCAAGACAGATAATGTATGGCCTTTCTAACATGCATGCTAGAACATCCGGCTGGTGCCAACCATTTTGCTGATTCTTGTTTTCCCCAGATGGTTTGGCTGCTGAAAGCACCTGCGTGTTTTTGTGGGATGCTGTGTTTGGTGCTGCTAATTCTGGGTTTGCCAGGCGGGAAAAAAAGTTGGCATTCAACGTCGGTATCGCAGATCCATGAGTTCAGTCTAGTATTGTTTTAAGTTAGGTTTTTTGGCTATGTGCTTTTTTGTATCATTTTATTTTATTTTACCTTACATGGACATTTGTGTGTTTTTTTATTGCCAGCTGTTTTAAAAATGTCTTTCATCGTGGTAAGCAATGCATAAATTGAAGAAATGAATCTTTGGGATGTGGTAATTCCATAATCCTTCCTTGCCCCCGGCGGACTGTTTTTCATCTCTTTTCCTTTTCCTTGGTTGCCAGGTTAACCAAGATCTCAGTCGCCAGTTGCTGCAGGATGGGTACCATCTTGATGAGATCCCAGATGATGAAGATCTTGACCTCATCCCTCCCAAACCCCTCTCCTCCTCGCCTTGTTCCTGTTGTTTTGGGGAGTCCTCCTCTTGCTCTATACAGTAAGAGATGGTCTCGGGGCTGCCCTGCCCAGGCTGAGACACGAGGGCTTTCCTTTCTTTGGGGCATGTGGATCAAACCAATATGGCAGGACTGGAAGGGTACTTTGGCAACTGCAAGAATGGGACGTACCAAGGCACGGGTCGCACTTGCTCGGAGCACTAAGCATTCTCTTGAAGCTCTTTTCTGTGGTGCAATAGAGAACTGCATGAGGGCCAGTTCCTCAAGAAAGCTGACGGCCAGGGTTGCCTTTCTGGAAACAAAACCTGCACAGAAGGTGAGGAGAGAGGTCAGGACAAGAGGCCTCATGCCTGAAGGCAACCCAGCAAGCTCTTTATTTGTTTGTGTGTTTCTTTAAAAATGAATGAAGATAGTTGAGACTCTGCTTTAAGAATCCTTGGAATTGTGAAAACAAATACATTTAAAAAAAACCAAACACTTCAAGGGGAGAGGACCAGGGCTCTTCCTATTCTACTCGGGGGTCCTTCACTAAACTGACTGGACACCCAATTTCTGTTATGATACGAGGCCCTTGCAGGCTAAAAGTCTGCGTGCGACCTTTCCAGGATGAAAACACATCTCTTTTGAGCAACATGGCTTGGCTTAGATGGTTCTTGAGCTTTGTCTTGCTGTTTAGTGGCTTTAGGATCCAGAGCATTATCTCCCTCACCTGGCTTCCTTGAGGGGGATTCGAAGCACTTTGGGCATCCGCACAGTTGCCCTCATATATTTGGAACCTGGCCTCGTGAAACAGCAGCATCCGAGACCTAGTAGGCTGAGGTTGGTTTTTGCTGCTGCCTCTCTCCTACCTTGATGGCTTGGTCTTTTCTGACAGACGCGGCGCAAGGCTAGGCTCACTAGGAAACTGACATTCTTCGAGAAAGCCACTAAACCCAGCAGGAAGATCGGAAACAGTCAATCGCTTTTGGTTCGAATTGTTTTCCTTTGTCAGGACTTGGCGTTGGTTCAAAGAAACTTGCATTTTTCTGACACCTCTCTCCATAGGCATCAAGTTCTTATTTTTATATCGCCTGCAGTGGTAGAACTGGTTCTCCAGTTGAGTGGCCCATATTTATTATGCTTGTGTTTATTAAAAGATCTGTTAGAAAGCTTCTGACGTGCCCTGTATAAAAACACGTTATTCATTTACATGGGGAGCAGAGCTGCTGTAAATGCTCCAAGAAATGGGAGCTGGCTTTCCAGTTGATTTCAGCCTGCTTGTACGGGTAGTGTACTTTTTCTCCTTGCGTTGTAAGTGATAATGGATAGCAAGTTCCAAGACGGCGTTCTGTTTTGTATTAGAAGCAGCATCAGCGTTGGTTCATGTTAGTGAACTTCTGAGAGGAGGAGGAGAGAATGGATGGATCTTTGAGGAGTGGTTAACTTTGGTTACCTGGAGGTGGGCAGGGAGCACCTTTCTTGCCATTGATTTTGGACAAGAGGCTCCCAGTTTACTCCAGATTGTACTGTGAAGGTCTCCTAAGCTCACACAGGAACGAGGAGACCTACATGATGTGGCCATTTTGCCGCATTTGTCTTTGGAGGCTATAACTCAGTATGATTTCTTCCATCTAAACTGCACTACAGGTTGGGACCGGAGGCCCAGAGGGTTTGGATTGTGCTAATTCAATGCAGCCTGAACCTATGCACTGCTGTGCTGGGTGATTTATTCTATACCAAAGGTGGTGGTGGTGGCTGATTCCTAGACAACCTGCTACTAGTTGTGAACTGTCAGTGATATTCAGCTTGGCGTATTTGTAGCTTCTTTGCAGGGAGGCTTCAGTCTAGCTCAAGAGTGGGGAACCTAAGGTCTGCCCTATGTTTTGGACCTCGATGGCCGACTGGTCACGCTGGCTGAGGTTTCTGGGAGAAGGCCCAAAACATCTAGAGATTCTAGAGGTTTGCAAGTCCCCTATTTCTGTGTTTTACCTAGATGAATGCATAGAGATGTGACCAAATGCCCAGGGAAATGTGCAAGTGTTTCTAGCTTCAATTTGTCAAGAGATCAAGCCTTGACCTCTGGCAGGTCATAGTACAGAGCAATGTTTGTTGACTGCTCCATCAGGAACTATTGCAAACAAGGGGGAGGTCAAGCTTTTTCTGTCCTTACAGACCATCTGTAAAAGCCTGAATTTATTTATACAGAGCTGGTAGCTGGGGAAGCCATTACATGATGCAGACAGACATGTTTTCTTTTTGTTTTTATTTGCCTTTACATGTTATTAATTTATTTGTATCGCTGTATATCACATTCTTTGCTTGCAAAACCTCCAGCAGTCTTCGAGGTTAGAAGCGAAATGTTCATGGCTGAGTTTTGAGGTGTTCCTTCCACATCTGGCTACAGTCTGCTTTTGTCGGGACAGACAAGGATCAAGAACTAGCAGACCAGGTAGAACTAAACGCTGGCTCTCCGTTGCAAACCAAGACATGCAGGCAAAAGGGTGTATTTCACTTTTATTTTTGTGTGTGTTTCTATTTATATCATAATTTCTTGGAGGGAAGGGAGATAGATAACTATGCCCAATAGAGGGATTTAAAAGCTGCCTTAAAATACTAAAATGCATTATATGAAGACAATCGTATAGGAGATTTAATATTATATTTACAGAGGACTGTCTGGCAAACTATTTTGTACATTCTGAGCCAGGGAAGTATGCATTAATAAAAACTCCTTGCACTCTTTGAGCTTCTTTCTTTTGTTAACTTCAGTGGTTGTTTGATTGAAAAGGCTCCTTACTAGAGTTTTGATTGATATCTCGTGCGACATGGTGACTCAGGCTACGGCAACACATGGGATCTGGGGAAGAGAACCTCGTGTTTTGTGGGTCAGGTTTGTCCATTTTGCTGCTGAACAGTGGCCCCAGCCAAGAATGTGCTTTGCACCCTGCCCTTGCTGCAAAAAGATAAAATAAATAAACCCAATCAATGCTTTCAGATTGGCACCCCCTTACACCTTTCTGGAGACACTCTGATTTTCATCCTTGTTCAACTGTTTAACATTTGTGTGTTTTGAATTCTCTACGAAAGGCCCCTTTCCTGTGAATTGGGAGATGTGAATGGCCAGGCCAGGCCATAGCTTGAAGGGCACACAGCCTTTGTAGGTTTCTAACTTATTTCACCAGCAAGTGCCGAAGAGGGGGCTGTGTTTTTGTTTTCCTCCTTTACCCCTCTAACCACCAGGAAAAACCCCTAAGCAGCTTCGTAAGGCAACCACCGGGAAGGAACAGAGTAAGAAACATTAAATGATAATAAGCACGCTCCTCTTTGACTCCTCTTTTAAAGGACAATGCAGGGAGCCTGTTTTGCTCTACAATTTCCATCCTTTCTTCCTCCAACTGTCCTTCTGCATCTCTTGTGAAATTCATGATGCTGTGGCCTCAGCATAGACGGTGACGATTTAATCAATGACTTTAAACAATGCTACAGACAATGCACGCCCATTTCTAAGGTAAAGAAAAACACATCCTTTCCTCCATCACTGACTTCCATAGTTTTTGCTCCTCCCCCTGCCCCACTTGCAGTCATGATGGATGCATGGAAGACTTAGTCCAAGGTATTTTTTTTGGGGGGGGGGGAATGCTGCGCCACCCTATTAATGCTACAGGGCACTTTGTTCTGCCCCTATGGTCACCGTAGAGACACACAACTACTCCAAAGTTAGTTCTTACTTACACATTTCTCTGAAGACTGCACATTCCCATTTCAAAATCTTTAGCCCACAAAAAGCAACATCAGACTCAATGATTCTTGAGGCTAATCTGCCACATTATCTCCTTTATTTGACTGACTTTAATTCACGGCATTGATACTTGACATTGATGATTTTACTCTAATGGGAAGACTCGGCTTACTTCTCCATCCCGCCACCTTTTAATTCAGGATTTTAAAGTTCTAAATAAAGCACTGCAGTAGGTATTATGCACAATGTTGGAAGAATATTGGTTGTTTCTGTGATTTCTACTGGCGAAATCAAAACACTTTTCAATTTACAGCAGGGGTAGAGAATTTTGGAGTCTCTGCTGACCCATTTTGTGCCCCAGTGATCCACCAGGCCCAGAACTTAGAAGGGAAAAAATGAACTTCCAGTTTTGTTGATAGATTTGAGGGCATTTGGCAGGACTGTGTCATATTTATAGAAGCTAGGGCCTTTCAGAAGCCAATGGCTATCTATTATCACATCCTTATGCCATTATACTGTGTGTGTATCAGAATCTGAAACCGTGTATTCTGAAGTCTGCATAATTACAGTATCTAAATGTGTAACCAGTAGCTTAAGAGTTTTGTTGCATTTTTTGCCAATTTCAAAGATTGAAATGCCAGAACCAAATCATTAAGGTGACACACATTTTCCATCTCCTCACCCCTGATTCCTTTAACCTGTTACTGATACTTCAGCTATTAAGTACTTTAAATGTATTTTGGCACTTCAGATTCCTGAAAAATAAGCAAGATTATGTGAAGTAACAAAGGGTAGTTTCAAACAAGCAGTATGAAGCCATCATTCCTGATGCTGTCTTGTTTTAAACTAACCATAGTTTGTCATCCACCAAGAGGTCAGGACAATTCTCTCTGTTCAAATATACAGATCTCTGGTTGACTAGTATGAAGCCATCATTCCTGATGGTGTCTTGTTTTAAACTAACCATAGTTGCAATTAGCCAACATTTGTCATCCACCAAGAGGTCATCTGTTCAAATATACAGATCTCTGGTTGACTGGGTGTGAATCCTCACAAGGATGACTATGTGAAAAATTAATTTGAAGATCCCAAAGTCAAGACATCTTTCAGGCACCACAGTAAGCCAGAATTCCTGATCTAGATACTACAAGAAATCACAGCACACTGTGGTCCATTTAGTAGCGCATACTTATAGCAGCAACTAGGCAATGTCTATCAACGTGCTACCTCTGTTGCATTAAACCAGAATTCCCAGCAATGTTGGCTTATAGCAAAACAAAACTAACATCAGTGTAAACAAGAGTCTGGCTTGTTTCAAAACAAAACAAACCACAGGTAAGACTAATCACAGTCTCTTAGGCTCAAATGGCACAAGAAGCTCCAGTTCATTTTGGAGGATGTGGGGAAGCTAGGCTGACCTTCACATGCAGCCTGTGGGTTGAACTGGCTTGGCCTCCATGCAGCGTGCTTGTGTGCCATCTGAAATAATGGTAGCATTTGTCTAGAACAGTGGTTCTTAACCTTGGGTTATTCAGGTGTTTTTGGACTGCAACTCCCAGAAGCCTTCCCCACCAGCTGTGCTGGCTGGGGTTTCTGGGAGTTGCAGTTCAAAAACACCTGAGTAACCCAAGGTTAAGAACCAATGGTCTAGAAGATGGGATGAGGGCTCTCACCACTGGGTAAGATTGATTCAGCCTGTTATCCAGCAATGGCTGGGGGGCTGTAAGTTGCCCACTCCAGGCCTAAAAGCTTTCAAAAAGAGAATATTCCTAGCACCTACATATATCTCCCCAGAATAACTAGATCTGCAGGAAAACTGAGCCAGTGTGGGAACTTAGCAGAATTAAAGTTTTAGACGACAACTTTCATGACCATCTACAGTTTTACCTTTTTTTGAACTACGATTTGCTAGAATCTTTGAACTACGATGCCTAGGATATGATTTCCCTTTAGGGGCAGTAACTTCCCAGATTTCCCAAACCACCACAGCCAATCATGATGCTAGCTGTGATAGGGCAGCTATGGCTGTCGTAACCTTGCAAAAGTTACTCTTCCAGCAGGAGAGATCAAACTGAATGACTTTTTAAAATTCAAATTAATTTAAATCACAATTTAAGTTAAAATATATATATATATGTTTGGTTTAAATCAGCAAAATAAATCTGATTAAATCATGATTTAAATTGCGATTTAAATAAAATCCACCCTGTTTTCCAGTAAGTGAAACGAAAGTGAGCAGCTCTCTCAAGAAGCAAGCCGTTTTCTCTTAGAGTATACCATGCATTACAACTGGAAGGACTTTTGTTGGAGAGGAGCCAAAGACAAGGATAACAGAAGCTGATAAAAATATTCATGAAGGCTGCATGTACGGGGACCAAGAGGTCTCTTTGCCTCGATCCCGGAACTTTGCAGGCAGTGTGCTACGACAGCAAAAACACTGCGGCCTAAAGAGGCAAAACAGCACTGAGATCTTTCCTCCAGCCCAAATCCCTCCTCCTGCTACTGGTGTGAGCGAAAAACATCTAGGCTTTTACAGCCAATGGAAGTTTTGAATTACAGTGTCCCAAATCCGGCAGGCAGGATGATTTGGGCTGCTGTTGGCCAAAAAAGGAACTTTTTCCAAGCTCTTCTCTTGTTAAAGCTGACAGCCCCACTGCTTTTACAGTAGTTTTTGCTTAGAGAATATTAACCCAGGAAAACAGCACAACACAAATACAGTAATGTATATCCTAAAGATCTAGATGGAGAAACCTCTGGCGTTGCAGATGTGCCTGGATCACAAGGGCCATCAACCTTGGATGTTGGGCTTTCTGGGGCTGAGACTGATGGGAGATGGAGTTTGACAACAGCTGGGCAGCCATGGTGTTCTGGATCTATGCTAAACGCTTGGCTGGTCTTCATTCAAGATCTCTAGATAGGCTGGAACACAACTCCTACTCAGGAATGACGGGAGTTATAGCATGACACTAGAGAATACTGGGCTACAATTCCCGTCAACCTTGGCCCACATGGCCAATAGTGAGCTGTTACAAGAACTACAGGCCCCCAACCTATGTTCATAATCTTGGCCTTGATCTATGGCCCTCCAGATAGGCCCCCAACCTATGGAAATCCAAATGTTCACAATCTTGGCCTTGATCTATGGCCCTCCAGATATTAATAAGCTCCCATTATCTGTCTTCCCAGTCCATGCTGGCAAAGCTGATGGGAACTGGAGTTTAACATAATCTTGAATGCCACAAGATCTCCCCCACCACCACCTCATTAGAACTCTACAGCAGGTAAAACTGGGTTGTAGGTATGTAAAAACCGAGCTGCTTTTCAGACTACAATGATCACACAGTAAGGAACAACAGGGCTACTGCAAAACCTTCCAGTCCCGTGCTTCTTTGCTATTAGCCAATGGTAGGGCCGGCCCAGGGCAGAACCAAGGAGCTGGGGAAACAACTGCTGATCATACAAGCTTGAGCCCTAAAGCCTGGGCTTTTTGACCCGGCAGTCTGACAGATGGATCCATAGACAGGACGGAGGGGACTGGCCGATCTCTATTGATGCTACGTCAAGTCAGAACAAGGGAGGGAAAGAGCAAGGAGTCCCACATTATAAGAGGCAGCAGGCTCGGAAGAGCAGCATCCCTTCACCTGAAGACATGTGCAAAGAGACGCTCTCGTTGGCCGAGATGAAGAGCACAGAGCCGCGGTGCAGGGCCATTTCCGAGACGGCTGCCGTGGAGGTGCCGGTGGCCGTTCCCTGGACCACCAAGAGGATGCTAGCCGAGTCAATCGCCGAAATGAGGTACAACTTATTAGAGGCAGGAAGCTGCAATGGAGAGAAATCAAAGATGCTGCAGATAAAGATGGGTGTTCAACCCTTGCGTCCCTGGAGCAGGGAGCCATTAAAACTGGATCCAACACAAATACACGGGCCACGCCGAAGTTTCGAACCTCCTCCCCCTTCAAATATCCTTTGAGTCGCTCCAATGAGCCAATTCTTAGAAAATCAAGAAAAGGTGAGGTTATGGCAACCAGACGGGAAACGAGGTTGCCCGACATGGAGTCAGGCTAGTAGTCCATCTAGCCTCCTACTGCCAACTCTGACCACCAGTGGTTTTCTAGGGTTCATCTGTTTATTTGTCTTATTTATGGGCTGCCTTTCTCCCAATAAGGGGACCCAAGGGGGCTCACAGTATTAAAAAGAATCAAACTACAAACGCAGTACGTTATACACTAAAAAAAAAACCCTATAAAACTGATTAAAATAGATTAAATAATAAAAACATGTTTCAGGCCAGTCTTCTTTCCTAGCCTTACTAAGAGGTCCATGGTATTGCCTGATGGTCTCCCATCCATGTGCTAACCAGGCCTAAAAACCAGCAAGATGCTACATTATTTCCTCTTAGGGCACCTGTATGCCTTTCCTTAAAACTTCACTTCCTGAACTCTGTGCTGTGGACCCCAAATGCTGCGATCAAATTTTGCGAGTAAATTCAATGTGCTTTTATCGGTTCTCCCCCCCCCCGCTCAAGTTCAGGTTTACAGAACATTTCAAGTGTTCTGACGTGGGACTGGGTGAGGACCAAGATGCTCGGTTTACAGCTGACATGAGGCCTTCTAAGGTTCACTACTATATGGGTCTCCCAAATGCTCGCAACGCTTTTGCTGAACTGTGTTGCCAGAATGGGCAAACAAGCAAGCATTGGGAGCTACACAGCATTCTTGCCTGCTCAAGGACAGCCGTGCAAGTCACAGGCTCGTCACACTTAAGCAGACAAATGGAGTTTCTCGTCAATGACATGTAACTCAAGCAAATGAAGTACGACCACCGGCAAGCTGACCAATGGCTACATAATATTAATTCTGACAACAGAAACCAGAGATTTCCTCCACAATCCATTTTCTTGGGTTGAGCGAAACGATACCTCCATCCTCCCAGTGGCTGCCAAAAATCACTCTTACATAGCAGGACAATGTTCCAGCCGACCCATGGAATTCATTAGAGGAGTTTCAGCCCTTCCAGCTCCCCGCCCGCCTGCCTGCCACCTTTCTTTATGGAAGGACGCCCCCCCCAGTCTCTCACGGGGAAAGCGCCGTGATCCATCTGAGCCAAGGATTGGTGTTGGCCCAGCGATGAACCCCTCACCTACCTCGTCCCCCATTTATTTGTGCAGGAGGGGCACGTCGGTCCCTCTCACGCGCTTCCCCTACTTTACAATCTCCCCAAGGGCGGAACACATACAACACCCATACACACATGCACACAACTCAAAGCGCTGCAGCGAGCCCACCCAGCAAAAGATTCCAGCAAACTCCGCTTTCCTCCCACACGCAAAAAAGCCAAACACTGTCTTGCAAAAATCGTCCATAGAAAACATCGTCTTGCGAAGCGCCACAGCGATCGCAAAAACCCATTGTCTTGCAGATTAATCGTCCTGCGAGGCAATCGTCTTGAGAGGCACCACTGTATGACTACAGGCAAGTTGACCAATGGCCACACAATATTAATTCTGACAACATAAACCAGAGATTTCCTCCATAATCCATTTTCTTGGGTTGAGCCAAATCGTACCTCCATCCTCCCAGTGGCTGCCAAAAATCACTCTTACATAGCAGGACAATGTTCCAGCCGACCCATGGAATTCATTAGAGGAGTTTTGCCCCTATTGCATTTTCTCAACCTAATCTACCGCACTGGGTCATGAGGATAATGCCATGCATGCCACCCTGACTTCAGTGGGATCAAAATGCAGCAAATCAATGAAATAAACCTCTCTATCTGTCCTCCAAGCACTGAAAAGCACAGGGACTCTGTGTTGAACTGTTGGGCTGGTTACTATGAGTCACTCTGATCTACCCTGGAGGTTTCTTGTAAGGAAGGCAGGACTGAAAGGAAATTAGAACCACATGTGCCACTCACTCACAGAAGTGAGAGCTGGACCATAAAGAAGGCTGACCGGCGAAGAATTGATGATTCTGAATTGTGGTGCTGAAGGAGGCTCTTGAGAGTCCCCTGGACTGCGAGGAGAACAAACCTATCCATTCTGAAGGAAATCAACCCTGAGCGCTGCCTGGAAGGACAGATCCTGAAGCTGAGGCTCCAATACTTTGGCTATCTCGTGAGAAGAGAGGACTCCCTGGAAAAGTCCTTCATGTTGGGAAAGTGTGAAGGCAAGAGGAGAAGGGGACGACGGAGGATAAGATGGTTGGACAGTGTCTGCGAAGCAACCAACATGAATTTGACCAAACTCCGGGAGGCAGTGGAAGACAGGAGGGCCTGGCGTGCTCTGGTCCATGGGTCAGGAAGAGTCGGACACGACTTAACGACTAAACAACAACATGTCGCTCAAGGCCACAAGGAGATGGTCGTTTATTGAGAGGCTCCCCCTGCAGAATCTAGTGCAGTGGTTTTCAACCTTGGGTGGCCAGATGTTCATGGACTAAAACTCCCAGGAAGCCTTTTCACCACGAGCTGTGCTGGCCAGGATTTCTGGGAGTTGCAGTCCAAGAACATCTGGAGACCCAAGGTTGGGAGCTACTGATATGGGTAGTGAGACTGCCCTTCCCACGGAGCAGTGAGGTGATTCCTAACAACCACTGTAACTGAAAGGGTGTCCCTTCTGGCTTCCCAACTAAAGCACATTGACTGAAGAAAGGACACAGCAGTAGGAAAGCCTCTCTTTTGCCTTCTTCTTTCTTCCCTCCCAGAAATCGGTCTGGGGGATTCTGGGGCTGTGAGTCTTGGGAGTTACAAAATCCCCATCCCTATGCAAAAGCCACACGATGCCCTTGACTTTCCGGGAGCAGAAAGCAAAGGAAACTCACCTCTATCTTCATGACCGCAAAGTCTGGGATGGGGGGATCGTAGAGGTAGACGTGCGGATCCGTGCGACTTTGAGTCGGGGCCAAGAGCTTGGAGCTGCTGGGGGCCGGCGTGTAGTTCAGCATTTCGCACAGGGTGAGGACGTCGATGAACTTGGGGGTCAGGCCGGCTCGCACCGTGTTGTCTGAACACGCCATGCACTCAATGCAGTCTGCATGGAGAATTAACAAGGGCCAAATACTTTAAAAAGTCGAAGTATGCGTTCACTAATTTTATAAGCAAGGCAAGAACAACCTTCCTGAAAACTTTCTGCTACTCCCAGGTGGAAATCCAAAGGCAAGAGACTCAGGAAGGACTCAAAAAAGTACTTTCTTACATGTGTGATCGTTCTACTATGGAACTCACTGCCACCAGATGTGGCAACGGTCGCCAACCCAGAAGGCTTTAAAACGAGACTGAGACAAATTCATGGAGAACAGGGTGCATACCAGATGCTTGAGACTGGGACTTGGAGGAAGCATTTTGCCTTCATGTCCTAACCGTATGCCTCTCGCTGGGACTCCTGGCTGGTCATTCTTTGGAACCAGCATGTTGGGCTACGGAGTCCTCCAGTTTGATCCAGGAGGGCTATGCTTCGCTTGGGAAAATGTGTATAGAAAATGTGCAAGGAGGCCATACATAGCCTTCTCCTACTTTTGCTCCCACTAAGCCAGCGCTTGGAAAAGTGACTGTTCTGAACTACAACTCCCAGAATTCCCCAGATTCAGAGAGCTGTAGCCCGAAAAAGGAATTATTTCCCCATTCTCACCCCGCTACCAGCTTTGATGAATAATGTCTTTGAGTTTGGATGTGGCCCCGTGGAGGAGGCAAGAGCCGGTTAAAATACCCAGGACACCCACGTATTATTTCTCCCACAAGTAAACTCACCTCCGTTGAGGTAGGCATGAGGCTCGTTCGCTCCCAGGAACATACACTCTCCCGGCTGCAGCTTCATCAGGTTCAGGAAATAGATGGCAAAGCAGCCGATATCTCCGGGGTACTGTGAGTGCAGCCGAAGGAGCAGTTCGCCACAGCTGGGTGAGGTATCCTTCCCTTCGGCAGCTGTGGACCAGAGGCGTGGAGAAAGAGCCAAGTGAATATCCTGGGTCAGATCCTACATCTTTCCTCATTTTTTTCCTTCCACATGGTTAACCGGTTCTTTCAGATTTTTGGAACTTGTTTGAGAAACCTCTGGGCATGTCCAGTTGGGGCGCCTGGGATTTGAAGTCCAAAACATCTGAGAACATATTATGCAGTGGTCCCCAACCTTGGCCCTCCAGATGTTCTTGGACTTCAACTCCCAGAAATCCTGGCCAGCAGAGGTGGTGGCGAAGGCTTCTGGGAGCTGTAGTCTAAGAACATCTGGAGAGCCAAGGTTGGGGACCACTGCGCCCAACATTTACCAGAAGCTTTGGACTACATTTCCCATCTGCCCCAGCCATCATGGATGGTGGGCACTTCCGTTCAAAACATCTGGAGAGCGGAAAAGCCAAGGTAGACCCTCCTTGTCTCACATAGAACAAACCTTCTCGGGAGATCCTCTTCACAAGCATGTTGAGCTGGTCCACGAAGACCTTCTTCTCGGTCTTCATCATCCGAGTGAAGCACACGCGCAGTGCGGCTGAAACACCCCGAGGGTCATCCCCCACACTGCGCTCCAGCTGCTCGGCAGCTACGCTCCCGATCAAGGCTCGGAACTCTGAAACATCTGCAGGAAGACAAAGAGGTCAGTGACAAAGCACACCCGTCAAGTAGAGACGGGGGGTGGGTGGGATTTCTTGGACTACAATAATCATGTGTCAGCAGGGCAGTGAATCCACTCCAGGATCATCAAGTCCAGCCCATTGAGGAGGCACAGTAGGGAATCAAGACGTACAACAGCAAAACATTACTGCTCATTCTATCTATTACTTGGTTTTCTAAGAAATGCCCATTATACAGAAATGGCCAAACGGGGCACCTTGCATTCTATTTGTATCTTCCTGTGACTGATAGCACCATTTATCCCCTTTTCTGGCAAATATATCCCATCACATGCTTACTCTGGAGGAAGGCCACAATTTCTTCAACAGGACGGAAGCCACACAGACCCTCGAAAGGAGTAAGGGCAATCGCCATCTCCGGCTTGTGGTTGGCATCGGGGTAATGCTCTGGATACTGGGCATGAAGCTTCTCAGCCAACTCCTAGTAAAGAGGGTAGAGGAGGAGGAGGAGGAAGAAAAAGGATGACAGTGAAGGCCAGATCTCTCAGTCCAAGCATAGAAGATGAGTTGTCGTGATCATTGCATCCATGACAGGCCACTCGCTCCAGTGTCAGCAGGGCAGTGAATCCACTCCAGGATTGAGACCAAACTTAAAAGATGATCTCCATGGTGATTAAACCGCCCAGAGTGGCCCTGGCTGCCAGATGGGTGGTGGTGGTGGTGGTGGTGGTGAGAACTTTCATATAAGGCTAGCAAAATTTTGGATCCACTCTCTTCTGAATAAGCCTTTGAGGCTGCCCTACAACGTTTTCAGGACTAGAAGTATCATACTTCTCCATTCTGGGAATTCTACTTACCTTTCAGATACTGTACCTTACGAGCACTGAAATGTGACTCACCTGAAGAAAGGCCAAAATGAGAAGGCTCTGAGGCTTAGCTGGGCCTAGCTCTGCCTGGCTTCCTGTTCCTGCCCCAGTGCTAGCTGGGAGACTTCTTTCTGAACAGGAAAGGCCCTTGGCCCCCTCCAAGCCATGTGAACCTTCTCCTCATGCTCTTTAATTTTTGCTTCTGGAGGGTACAAGGGAGCTTCTTTAGTTTTGAAAAAAATTGTTAAAATTTAGGGCACAGTGGGAGGGGAGGACATTGTGGCCCTCAAAGATGAAGGGACAGACATCTGTAGCCTCTGGACCACTGACGATCATCCAGCCCGGCACAAAGGAAGGGCTGGACCTTAGTGGCAACGGCTCATGTGATGATGGTCCCCTTGGGACTTTCATGAAAACCATGTTCTTGGAAATAGGGAGCATTGCTAACTGTAAGCACCCTTTTCTCATGCAGGCTTACTCAGGAGCAAGTCTCACCATTCATAGCGCTGAATTATACATGGCCTATTGGCTACCTTGATATTCTGTTTTTCTCCAAAGGAACTTAAGGTGACATGTAGGACTCTCTTGTTATTATTTACAACAATCCAATCAGCTAGGTTAAGCATGGAACGGGGAAATGGACCCAAGAACGCTCAGCGAAACCCTTCCCTCACTGCAAAGAGGGGATCTGAACCCAGGTTTCCAAAGTCCTAATCTCATCCATGCTCTTTCTTTCAACATTAAATTGTGGTTTTAGCCCAACAAAGCCAATACTGGCCTAGGTGAGGAATGTGCCACACCCTGCAGATGTTGCCCTACACATTCCACGAACCCTAGCCAGACCAGGCATGCTAAAACACAACATCTGGATGGTCACACCCCTATTCCAGCCCTAGCCAGACCAGGCGTGCTAAAACATGCAGTCTGGTCACAACATCTGGATGGTCACACCCCTATTCCTGTTCTACCTACTGCACCACATTGGCTCAATAATGTAGAAGCATTTACCGTTATTGTCAAAGTGACTGCCATACTTCAATTGTTTAAAGCAAGGGTTCCCAAATGTTCTTGGACTAAAACTTCCAGAAGTCTTCACCTCTAGCTATGCTGGCTAGGATTTCTGGGAGTTGAAGTCCAAGAACCCCTGGGGACCCATGGTTGCGAACCAATTGTTTAAAGCAGTGGTTCTTAACTTTGGATTACTCAGGTGTTTTTGGACTGCAACTCCCAGAAGCCTTCACCACCAGCTGTGCTGGCTGGGGTTTCTGGGAGCTGTAGTTCAAAAACACCTGAGTAACCCAAGGTTGCGAACCACCAGTTTAAAGATTCAGTTACCACGACTTTCTCTCTTTTTCCACCAAGCAGCTGAAAGCAACATCTTAGTTTACAATCTGCCTCTCACCCACAGTTTAAAGATTCAGTTACCATCACCTTCTCTCTTTTTCCACCAAGCAGCATCTTAGTTTACAATCTGCCTCTCACCCAGACAGTATATAGGACTCCACGTGCTTCACAGCAGAAATCTTGTCATTCACTTCCACCCAGTTTTTTAAGCTTAGAATGGATCCAGGTTCTTTACATTCTATTAAAAGAGCTGTTTCGATACAACTGCTCAATACTTCAAAACAAACAAACCCACACAGTAATGTGGGCCAGAAAACCCCCAAAAGGTGAAATGTTCTAATGTATTATTTTTCTGCAGAACATTTCCAATTTCAAATCCGTTGTACATTTGTGCTTTGTTTCTGAAAGATCAATAATGAAAGAGAAGTGCAATTAAATTTGTGCTCAATTCCCCCCCCCCAAATTTTTGCAACAAGGAACAAGAATGGAAATTATTGGGTGCGATTCTCTTAGTGATATGTTTTGAATTATGGTTTTCATTCAATCTTTTAACATTGCTGATCTTGTTTTCTGTTTTAATGGCATTTTTAAATTCACCTTTACCTTGAGTTGCCTTTATGTTTACTGTTACTAGTAGTTTGGGAGTGTCAACAGGATCCCCTAAAATTTGCGCCTTAAAACCCAGGCTTACCTTGTTGGGATGAGCCTGGATAGACAAAGCTGTGTTGACTGACAAGACTTTGAACAAGAAAGGCAGCTGGCCTTGGAAAGCATCTTTCACTTTGGCCCCTAGGCAGGCCGGGTTGTCCGCAATCCACTGCCCTAAAGTCTTCTGGGGGATGCGATTATCCAGGATCACTGCATCTCCCTTGGGATGAGCCCCCATCCAGAGCTAGGAGGGGAGGAATAAAGACACGCCCATGGTGGATTAGTGCAAGGCTCAAGAACATGTGACTCTCCAGAGAGTGGTGGACTGTGATGCCTGTCAGCCCTTCCTGGTACAGCCAGCGGCGAGGGATGCTGTGAGTTACATTCCGGCAGTACCGGGAGAGGTCCTGCCTCCCCCACCCCTGCATTCATAGATTCGTAGCTGCTTTCTGGTTGTAGGCTTGGGCTAGAAAAGGCAATGTAGGTCATAGAATCGTTGAGTTGAAAGGAGCCTATAAGTCCCCTGACTGTCCCCATTGACCTCCTCTGAACCTACTCCAGTTTCTTAGCATCCTTCTTAAAGGGTGGTGTCCAGAATTGGACACAGCGCTCAAGATGAGGCTTAACAAGTTCGGAATAGAGAGGGGACTGATACCTTGCAGGATTTGGAGACTATAGGTCAGCCGTCTCTCCCCTGCAATGCAAGATCCACTAACAAACTAAGAAAACTGTAGCTTAGCATCTTCATTCAAAGCAAAACACACACACACACGCGTGCGCAAATCCATTTGAGGAACTTGGAAGAACCTGGCAGAGTTTGGACAGGGTGAGATTCTGGGACAGCATTCTGGCTGGGTGATTCCGGGAGCTGTCTTCCAAAGTGTTTCCAAGCTCTGCTGCCTCATTTCCCCCCAAATTTGCCCTTTTTTTTCTAGGATGAACAGGAGGACAGAGGATTGAAGAAAGATTGAGCCTGGCAGGCCCCGGAGACAGCGGGAGAGGAAGTGCTTACCTCTGCATAGGGCTTGTCTTCTTCAATTTGCACCATAGGATCACTGCTTGCCAAAAGTTTGGCCACTTCGCTGTCCCGGCCTAACTTGCCCCAGGCATAGTTCTGCACAACGCAGGCAAGAGGAAAGACTGCAGTCAGCAAAACACGAAAAGAAAGAAGAGGTTACTCCAGGGCACAGGACAGGCACCAAAAGTCACTCAACCGTCTTCATCACACCAGTCTTCTGTTTTGATCTCTGCCCCATCAGGAGAGGGGTGCCTGCCTGCTCCTTAACTTATTGCTAAATCACATCTGTGTCATGATCCAGATGTGGTCTGGAGGCATTGGGAAAGCTGCGGCCCTCCATATATCGGCACACTCCAATTCCCTTGAGCAGCCTGGCCAGGGTAAGACATGTACAACAAACAACTCCAAAACACACCCATTTTGTCTGACATCAATTTGTTAGAATTGGTTAAAACTGGCTCTGGGATGTAAAAACCACCAGGAGGTTACCTGGATAAGACTAGAAAAAAATCCTGCTTGGAATCCTAAAGATGCTGCTGCTGGTCAGAGTTGGTAATATAGGTCTAGATGCATAGGTTCCCAAAGTGGTCTATATGGCCCTAAAGATGCTGCTGCTGGTCAGAGTAGATGCATAAGTTCCCAAAGTGGTCTATATGGACACCCAGGGGTTGATTTCGACTTGCAGAGGGTCCACGTGAGAAAGAGAAAAAATTGGGGGTGCAAGTGTAGACTTGTTTCAAAGCTTTGCGGGGACAGGGGGTCTACGGAAAACAAATAAGGCAGCAAGTGGTCTATGGGGCAAAAAAGTTTGGGAACCTATGGAGAGGGAACAAGAGTAAGGCAGCTTCTTGTATGCCATGTGATGGGAGTATGATTTTTTTTCAACATCTGGAGGACAGAAGATTCCCCAACCTGTGAACGAACAGCCTTACTGAAGGGAGGTAGGACTGCACCTGCGAAATATGTGCTACCTTTTAGCATCCCCCACCCCTTGATTCTCACTAATAACAGTTTGAAAAAGCTAAATTTAGCTCATAGAGGGATCTAGGTTTCGCTTAGTTAACTCTCTTTAACCCATCTGTCATATTCACAAATTAGAAATTGTTTTTATTCCAGGTTAAGTAACTGGGGGGGAAAAACCGCTCTCTAAGGTTGACCCTTTCTCCAGTCTGATATTTTGGGTCAAATTATAGTTCAGGGAAGAAAGTATAGGGAAGAAAGACAGAGAGGAAAGAATGCCATGGGAGGCGGTGATGATTACGGGTCCTAGAAGGCTTGGCACCGTCTGTTGGCTATAAATAACTGGGGTACTTCTAAAGTCTGTCATCATCATGTGTCCAACCAGGGCAAGATGTCTAACCTGAGAACGCCAAAAGCCTTAGTGCAGATTGGCATCGCCAAGTGGGCACCTAGCACACATGCCACTGTCCTTTCAATAACCTTTCCATTCCTAAATAAATCCTGACCCGCCATTCAGGGATCAGCATCATCTCCCTATAAAAATGTTTCATGCTTTTCATCTCTACCCACAAACGATGCCCTAACCATCGTCCCTTACAGAATCTTGATGAATATCCAAGCAGCCTTTTGTAGACTTCGGTCTAGATGGCCAGGGGTATACATTTAATAAATAAATGAATGAATAATCAAGGGAGCGGGATACTGCCTGCCTCTGGCCTAGCTCTTCCACAGACCCCTGCTTCCCCCCCCCTTAGAGCCAACGACATGACACCGCCCAAGCTCGACACCAATCTGTCTTCCTTTTGGTTTCAGGGCTGGAGAAAAGATCTTGGGCGACCTTCCTGCAGTCTCCAACAGAGAAGGTAGAGTGGTGCCCCTGCAGTCCCCTTACCAGGTTGTCTGAAGTTGACAACAGGTAAAGCAGGTCAGCCTGGAGAAGCAGAGGGACAGAGCTGATCACCCAGTTTGAAAGGACAGGGACTGTGTGCCCATCCAGAGGTTGCTGGACTGCAATCCCCATCAGCCTCAGCCAGCAGAGGCCATGGTGGGAGATGATGGGTCAGGGAGATCTTGAGAGTCAAAAGTTGCCCATCGGGGCTGGGTTATAGCTCCTACTTTCCCAACCATCAGCCATGCCGGCTGGGTTCAGTATGGCCGGGTATGAGAGGACGTATTTGACCAGCATCTTGTTTCTCACACTTGCCAATCCCAAAGACTCTTGAAAGCAAAATAGCGCAGAATGAAAGCAGGAAGATGGGAATTGAGCAGTCTTAAACACCTCTGGCGAGCCACACATTCCCAATCCCCATTTAAACAACTACTTTATCATAAGTATGATTTATGGTGGGAAATAAGATATGTGTTTCTACATTTTTAAGGGTTTTTCTCATCCTTGCCAGACAAATCACACTTATCTAATCTCCCTCTTACACTCAACCACTAAATCAAACAGGGAACACGCCTTAATCTTCTTTACATTCGATCCTTTTAATCGAGGGGTGGATAATATCTGCCTTTGGGCCATCAGCTCCCATTAGTGCTACCCCTGGTTATGAAGGCCTGGGGCTGATGGGAGCTGTAGTTCAACAAGATCTATGGGGTCACATATTCCCCATCCCTGGCAATTACTTTTTCCGAGGGAACCGGCACAGGGATGGGAGAAAGGGTCATTTCCTGGCAGGCGACTTTTGGAGACCATGTCTGTTTGAGTAAAGGGACTTTTGGACTACAACTCCCAGGAGTCGTCACTAGCATGGCCAGTGGCCAGAACTCCAGGTGGGTGTATTCCAGCACCAGGGATCCTGGCTTAGAAGGCAGTTAGTGGGTGACAATTCTTATCTCGGGTGCATTTAGAGCAGTGGTCCCCAACCTTGGGCCTCCAGATGTTCTTGGACTTCAACTCCCAGAAATCCTGACCAGCAGAGGTGGTGGTGAAGGCTTCTGGGAGTTGTAGTCCAAGAACATCTGGCGGCCCAAGTTTGGGGGCCACTGATTTTTAGAGCATCCAGATGCGAGGCTTTTCCAGACCAAACAAACGGGGCCATTCCCACGAGACCAGCGCAACCCCCTATGCCCTTATTTACTCCGGAGCACGCCTTCTAAAGTTCAGTGGGACCTTACTCCTGGGTAAGACAGTACAGGATGGCATCGTGAAGAACAAAGCCTCGGGTTGCTCTCCATTCAGACGTGCATCTTCCAGGAATGAATGAAGACAAGGGCTGCTTGTCTTCATTCATTCCTGACCCGAGTCTGCAAAACCCGTGTCCCTTGATCCTCACGACCAAAGGCGAGCCGCAGGGCGGGCAAGACACCCGAACTCCGGGGCTCACACGCTTTTGAGCGCGGAATCTGAACCCAACCCCGCGGCCGCCCCCACTTACCTCTCAACTCTGCCATACTTCCGATGCTGATCTGCTTCTCTTCCCCCCCTTCTCGGCCGGCAAAAGGAGCACCACGAACACCGCCGCCGCCGCCACGCCCCTTCCAGGCGCCCGCAAGGCACGCCGGGAAAGCTAGTTTCCCTTCTTCAATCCGGAGTCTCCCGGCCCGGAGTGGGTTCGCGACCACCGGGCGCTGCAAACAGAGGACGGGGGCACACCGTCGTGTGAGCGGAACCACTATGGGTGTGTGTGAGAGAGGGGGGCTGAGTCACAGCCTTTTCTTCATTGGCTGGCGGGGGGGGCTTCTTAGGAGCCCCGCAAAGGGCAGAAATCCAACCGGTGCAGCGCGAATTAAAAGTCTTAGCCTTCACGGGGATTGCTGGACCGTCTGAACCCGCTGCTTGTCACGTAACTGTCTTTTTAAGGGGGTGGGGAAAAGGGGGGGCAACCCAAGGGAACAAACCACGGGGGCCCGTTCCTTTTCTTGGACTACATTTCCCAGAATTCTCCAGCCTGGGGGCGATGCAGCCGAGAACTTTTCGAAGCTTCGAGGGAGAGCAGGATCGAAAAGTGTTTTGTTTTTTCCCATCGTTTTTAACATTTCTCGCCTCGGCTCCCGAAGAGCCTTTCAGAAATATATTTAAGATGAGCACACGATTGAGGCTTGTACTGCCCGATCCTCTTTAGAGCTCTCTGGTCGGTGGCTTGTAGGATCTTTTCAGGGTTTTTTTCTCCCCTGGTTTTGGAAGGCCTTTCCCGAACACTTCCTTCCTTAATATCGGATTTATTTATTTATTTATTTAAAAAAAAAAACAGTTTCGTGCGGGAAACCGCTGGGCAGGTTCTAACTTCTAAGAAACTTGAGCTTTCTGGATTTCTGTCTCTATCGTGTTGCTGCTCCCCACCCACCCTAATCTGTTTTTTATAATAATATTTTAAATGTAACTGTTAAAAATAGTTTAAAATTTCTTTGTAAATGAAAAAAGTGGGGTATACTTTCGGAAACGATACTTTATTTCAACAATGTTATCAGGAAGGGTTCCCCCCCCCCATACTGAAGGCTGGGCCAAAAGTCTCCTTTAAAATAAAGCGATACATATAAATGTAGTTAATTAACTAAATCTCAAAGCTGTATGTTCTTAGAATGAAATCCTGCTGCCACACTTACCGAGAAAATACGGAAAGGATGGCGTGCTACACGGTACACTACGGCACGGAACCAGTTGGTGAATTAGCGCGCATGCCCAGCAAGGCCCTGCTCTTCTTACTTGTTCTCATTCCTTTTTCTCCTGCCACTCAAAAACAAACTAACAGAATGAGCTGCATCGTGCGCATGCGTCCTACGCGCCCCCCCTCCCCGCTCTTTCTCTCCGCCTGGTCTTTTTTTTTTAAACTCCACCCTCTCTGATGAGGTCATAACGCAAACGCGCAAAAAAAAACCCGTCTATGTCACGTGACAAAGGCCCGAACTGCATCGGGCGGAGCCCTATTGCGCAGGCGTGGCAGTGAGAGTGGGCCGGGAGGGGGGGGAAAAAAGAGGAGGAGGGTGCGTCCTCCCGGAAGTGGGCGCGTGACTGGGTCGTCTCTTAGGGAGCAGGAAGCGGACCGGGTTGGGAACAGGTGTGGCGGATTCCAGGCTCCGGGGGAAAAGTCGGCCATGTCGGCCTTCGACAAGAACCCCTTCGCGGACCCGGTGGAGGTGAATCCTTTCCAGGTGAGGCGAGCAGAGCCACCGGCCTGACTTCCAGGGGTAGGGGTGTGGGGGGGAAGCCCGTGTAGCCAATCGGAGGCCAGGCAAAGCCACGCCCTAAATTTGGGGGAACCGCACCCCAAAACTTACACTGTCAATTTGGGGAGGGTACCTCGTTTTCGTCCCTTTCCCTGAGTTATAAAGGAACTTTATGGAGTTTTAAAGGGGCAGTAAAGATTTTTTGGGGGGGTAGGGATCTCCAGGTGGTGCTTAGAGAAAGATTTTAAAGGGGCAGTAAAGATTTTGGGGGGGGGAGGGATCTCCAGGTGGTGCTTAGAGAAAGAAGCTTCAGTGCTAATAGGTGTTTAAAGGGGTAGTTTTTTTTTGGGGGGGGGGATTAGCTGCTGGCTGCCCCTGAGCTGAATCTTGCCCCCATTTTGTTGCCTGTTTCCTCCTTCACTCCAGGTGCGTTTAGTTGTTTTTCTTTGGAGCATGAGGTGGTGTGCATGTTCTCTCTCTCCCTCCACACACACACCTTCTTCATCTCCCCTGATTAGGCAAGGAAGGTGCAAAGGTTAACTATTTAGCTTCATGGCAGGCTGAGGTTGGCAAGGATGATCTCTTCACCGCAGTTCTCCATTGCTAAACTAGAAGAAAAAGAAATTGGGGGGAGGGGAGAAGAATGAGGATGTTTTGAGAGAAAGGATTTGTAGCCTGTGTGCGCTTATTTAAAAAGCGAGGACCGGTTCAGTATTCAGTACAGTCAGTTCCTACCTAAAGTTACAAAGGATTTTTGGCTTAGTAAATAGAGTCAATATTTGGGTCTCCAGCCAGCCACCTTCCCTTGCTTCTCAAAGGGGCACAGAGTGGTAGTAGTTTGCCTGTTGGGCTTTGGCTGCAAAAACTAGAGGACAAAAGAGAGTTGCCATCTTTGCTCTCCTTGAAGGAAAATTTGGATTAAAAATCTTTTTAAGTTGTTTGTGTTTCCTTTTTAACCAACCCCTACTTGCTGACTAGTTTGTTGGTCTCTGTCTTGTTCATCTATTTTGTTGATTATGTACATTGCCCAGCACTTTAATGCTAAAGTAATAGCTGCAGTTGAAGGAAATGGAAATAATGATTTGATTTGCACTTGAAGGTGGGACATTACAAAGGGTACTTCTGCTCTGACTAAAGACAAGATCTGTAGTTCCATGAGTTGTAGGATTTAGCCTTTAATTAATGCATATGTCATCAGGTCTTGTTAAAAGGCTGATACAAAGATGCTGTTGATACTATCATATACACATCATTTTCTGTATGTGAAATACTGGTGTATTGTTCAATTCACCTATAGAATTTATCTGTTCTTTGCTGTATAATCCTTGCTTCAGTGCTTGGTTGCTCAAACCAAAAATCATATCAGTGTTCTGCTCCTTTTTAACCGCATGGCACATTATGTTTTTAAGATTCTAATAATTATTAGAAATCATAGATAAGGTATAAGATGATTGATGTTCTTAGCATAACCCAGATTTTATCCTTATAGGATTTCTTGCTTACTGATTGGTTTTTAGTAACCCTGACACACATTTGTCATTGTTTGGTATTTCCTTTTATTAGAGAGCAAGAGAATTGTGCAAGTAAACAATAAAGTTTTAATTAGAGAAATCCAACTGATTTTGCTTATGTTTGATTGTGTCACCAGGGAGTGGAATGAAACCTTTCCTTGGATAATGCCTGAAAAGTTTGCAATCCCTGCGCCTTTGAGATAAATTCCTTAGATTGTAGAGCAGTGTTATGCAACCTGGAGGTGGTGAAGTCTCTACTTTCAAAGAAGGATGACTTTATCCCAATAAAAATGCCTTTTTCTGCATGGTGGCAGGTTACTTGGCTTTTATAAAGAGAGGCTCAAAAAAAGTTTGGATGTTATAGAATAAACAGTTCCACTTTAATGACCCAAAAGCATTCTGTAGCTAATTGCAGTTGAACACTATACCAAATCTGGCATAGAGTAGTAGGCATATAAAAGCCTTCTGCAACAAAGATACGTTTGTTTGCCGATTCCATCATCCCATCAGCATGATCAGCATATGCCAAGATATTTTATTGAGGAGGGCTGATGAACAGGGTGTTGATTCCCAGACCTTGCTGGACTTCAACTCCCAGAATTCCTTGGCACGATGGCCACGGGTGAAGCATTTACAAGATCTAGGGATTTACAAGTTGAGAGCCACCTGGTACAGAGCATTAGACTTGATCTGGGTTTTAAATACGTACCAATTCAGTCATGGAGTTTACTGAATGGGCAGTCTTACTCAACCTAACTTGCTTCATTGATTTGTTGTGAGGATAAACTAAGGTGCTCCCTGCTCAATAATCTTATCCTTTCCCAAGGAAAGTAGGATTCAAATAAAGTTAATGTTCACATTGATAAGAAATGGGAATCTAAACCTTTGCAATGGCTTTTTTTTCTTTACACAGTGAGATAGCATGTAGCATGGAATACCTTTATGGCACATTTAAACTTCCTTTTAAAGTTTGATTTGAGGAAGTAAAGCAAAATTAAAAGGTGTTGTGGCACCTTAAAGATGAATAGAATTGCTTTAGTTTGAACTGTCAAGGATTGCTATATAATTAATTCCTCAGACAACATGTGAGGGAGTAGTAAGTAATCCATGAAAGCACTCATTGAAATACGTCTGTTAGTCTTTAAGATGCTGAAATTTCTTGTATCTCTCACACAGTGAAACAGATTAACACAGTTTTAAAAAGAATTTAGAACGTAAATTCTTTTTGGAGAACTGGGTGTCTGGAGGAAGAACTGTGATTTTATTGTTCTGCGTACTGATGTTTCCAACAGGAGCCATTGTTCTTGCACTTTGAAACTGTTTGAAACTAGTGTAGATAGGGTTCTGTTATGTTACTGAGGCTTTAGTCTTAAATACATTTGCTAAAGAGTAAGCTCCATTGAGGCTGATATCAGAGTAAACATTCATATGATTACACTGGAGTTCTTTTTCTAGCTGGTCGTTTCATCCTGTGTGTCAGGTTTAAAGGAACATAATTAGGGTTTAACTTGATTCACCAGAATTAAGCCCTAGAATGTGTTTTTCATGATTTTGACTGTAAATAATATCAATCATAAATTAAAAACCATGTGTCACAGAGCAGATTTTATATCTGTTCTTTAACCACTCCTGGCACAGTGGTTAAACCACTGTACTGCAGCCCAAACTGTGCTCACGACCTGGGGTTCAATCCCAGGTTGCTGGCTGAAGGTTGACTCAGCCTTCTATCCTTCCGAGGTCAGTAAATAGGGGGCCAACGTGTAGCCTGCATAATTAACTTGCAAACCCCCTAGGAGAGTGCTTGAAGTGCTATGGGGCGGTATATAAGCAGCATGCTTTGCTTTTTTGCTTTGCTTTATTGCATACAATTCCCAGAAGTTTGCACCGAATTCAGTGACACTTGCTCCCAAGAAGGCCTAGATAAGAGGGCAGCTATATCCTCTGGCATAACCTGGAGTGCTTCACTTGAGTCAGCAGTGAGGGAGGTGAATTAGAACAAAGATAAGAATATATGGTTCTCCAGATGTTGAACTACACCTCCGATCCACCCTCATCTTTGGCTCTGCTGGCTGGGGTTGATGGGAGTTGCGGGTCTGCCTACAGATTAACTAGTCCTCACTAGTTAACGAATGGCACTGTATTAACATATGCACTAGCCTTCTAAAAGAATTAGCCATTGCATATCTAGATAGTGTGAGTTCTTTCCTTTCCAGATTTGCACTGTGATAGTTGCTTTGTGCATCACCTGTACACAACAGCCTGTTTGTTTGATCATCTTGCCTTGTTGTTCCAAGGGAATTCACCACACCATCATGAAGAAGAGGGTGAAAAGCTGTGGAATCAAGTGGGTCATGCTCTGCAGAGAGACCACCTTGCAGTTGTTCCTTGAAGGAACCTCTGTGCCAGCGGCGACAGCATATGTACATTTGGCCCCAAAGGTGTGGCTTCTGTTTGAAGTCGGGCGTTGGCCCTTTGAAAATAATTCTGCTGGTCTGTGAGGACCTCTTCTTCTCTTGGCAGTGGTGACCTGTTGGCATAGAGAGGAAGCTGTTGAAACATCCACGTTGCAAGTGCTGGGAAGAAACTGTTTTTGCAATGGTCTAGTAACCGTGCATCTGCTGTGAAGCAATCATGTCATGAATCTAGCTACCTTTATAGAGGATGTTGGGTGACAGGATGCTGCTTCCTTTTGCTGTGGAGATTTTCTTTCCCCGGGATAACTTTGAATTCAGCGTTATTTTGGTGAAGCTACAGGGCTTTCTTTACAGCTTGGTGGGAAGTCCTCTGGGAACATTTCCATCCCCAGATTGCTGGCTGGATTTTAACAAAACTGTCTCAGCAACTTGGCCTATCTTTCTGAAATGTCTTCTGTTTGCCAAGGGAGTTGACGGGTGGCTCTCAAACCAGCAGCCTTGATTTCTTGGTGACGTGGTTGCAGGTGTGAGGGCTAGGGTGCTAAAGGAGAGCTTAAAGAAGCAACTGCTTGGATTGTGGTGCCTAGAATTTCCCAGATGGCAAGGCCATGGAATAGGTGGAGTCCAACGCCGTTGCAATGGGAGATCTGTAACACCCAGCAGGATGATCCAAAGTCCTTGTCTGATGCTTTTGTTTTGTTTTCAGCCTCCCATTCCAAGCTTGATTCTCACACTTAAGCTGTTCAGGAAGTCACAGGTTTTTTGAACTCCAGTCTAAAACAAACTTTCTTTGTCGCGAACAGCTGATGCAGTTTGCCAGGATCATCAGATTTCAACAAAGCTGAAAGTAGCAGAGAGATAATTCTAATTGTTCTAGCTACTGAAATATGTTTTTCGACATTCTTCTTGGCGATCTATCATTTAGACCAGTGCACCACACCCTTGGGTCCCCAGATGTTCTTGGACTACAATTCCCAGAAGCCTGTGCCAACACAGCTAGTGGTGAAGGTTTCTGAGAGTTTTAGTCCAAGAATATCTGGGGACTCAAGGTTGGGAAGTT